AGGCTTCATATTTGCTGTTTTAACGCTCAGACAGCAAAGCGAAGCGAAAGAAACACGAACCGCCAGACTAACCTAAAATAGGCCAAAAGCACCTTCTTGGAAACCGAAGTAAAATGCATGATGTCTTGGCGAGATGCGCCTCCATCATAGGTCGATCACATTGAGTAAATGGGGCTGGGAGCGGTAGAATGGAAGAAAGGATGATTCACGGAGAGAGAATCTCCTCCCAGCAAACTGGGTTTTGTTCAACTCATGAAGCTCCTTTTATAACTGGTTCCCCGAAGGGAAGACCCTTAGCCAGTGGGGCCATACCTCCGACCCTAATATCCGTGTGAAAAGGGGGGGTGCGCCTTTGTGTGATCCGTGCAGAGAGCAAACTATATATTGCCCAGCAGGCAAAGGGCGCAGGGCCCACTCCCGTAAGGACAACAAATCTAGGTGAGCATCCACTGAACAAGTTCTGGTCGCCAGTCTGAGTATCCTGGATGGAGGGTTTAGCCAGACCAGCAGTCTGTCCTGTGCCAAATGGAGGTTGTGCTCGACCCCTGTCTTAGGATCCTGCCAGAAAATAAACATCCTACACACAATATATAAACTAAAGCAAAGAAAGGGGAAATAGTTGGTTGGGAGGGGCCTTTTATGGTTGCATTACTTTTTTCTGATTGGTTGTTTGTTTTTTCTCTGTGTTAATGTGCTGCTGTGGAGTTCTAGTAAAGAGAGACTTTAGCAAATATGAAGCCTCCTGGCATGTTATAAAATTCTCAATTTTTAACATGTTGGGAATGGCAAGGAGAGCAAACAGACGTTGTGGGCAACAACCTCACACCATTCTTCTGCAGATCACACTGGATATGTGCTGTGATGTATGTTTGTGCATTGGGTCCTGGCCCACGATCTCAACGTTCTCCAGGCCTGTACTTGCCCTTGGTGATTATTTTCCAGGCGACTGTAGTGTCTGGTGTGACCAGGTTACCATTTGATGGTGTTTATTTATGACGTCCCTGTAGGTGTTTACCTGCGACTGCAAGGTGTTATGAGACCATACATCCCAAGTGTCCCTATTTAGGTGGGGCAGTCCCTATTTTGTGCCCAAAATTCTCTTTCCCTCTTTTTCTGGAAGATCCATATTGTTGGTGTATCTGAATATATAACAGAGCTCCACAGCAATAATACTCACAGTAATGTGTTTTTAAACTGTAATAAATGTGCTTAGAAATAAAGTGTTCTTGTTCTAAATTACATTTTAGTTTTAATAAATTATTTCTATGTCACTTAAAAATTCTTAGAATAGTCACACCCCTAAAATGAAAGTGTCCTCTTGTCAATCTGTAATGCTGGGGGCCTACATGAGACCATTCATGATATTCAAAACTTGCGACCACTGGTGGCAGTGGAATTGTGGGAAAATTGTCTGTATCTTAGGCGAGCACAGACCTCTGTGAATGCTGTCTCACACTCTGCAGTCCATATCCATGGACAATGCAAGGATCTAGGATGTCACAACTCCAGCAACCTCAATGTGTCAAATTAGGTGCTTCGCTCAAAACGGACAATCCATATAGAGATCTGTGGGATTTGTGTTTGAAAAGAGAGGCTATTAAATGCTTACTCTCTCCAACCAAAACTAAAAGGTGCTGGCCCTCGTCTGCTTAAAGAGACCCTATAGTCACCCAGACCACTTCATCTCATTGAAGTAGTCTGGGTGCACCGTCTCTGTCCCACTTAGTCCTGCAATGTACCTTGCAGGACTATGGCTGCCTCTAGTGGACGTCACACCACTTCCTGAATGCTAACTGACTGTAGGTTCCCTACTAAATGGGGACATCCGGCAGCGTCCGTGAAATCCTGATAGGAAAAACATTGATTCAGTGCTTTCCTTTGAGGAGGGCCTAATGCTTTTTCTGCGCACGTGCATTAGGCCCACCCTTTGATGACGGCGGAGGACCAACCGACACCTAGGGACATTGCGTAAGTGACTACCGTTTGTTTTTTTTTGTTTTTTTTTTTAAATGTATATATCTCTGATTGCGAGCCGGCAGGGAGGGGTAGAAATTTGTATTCCTAACACTATAGTATCCCTCTAACAAGTTCAAGGAAAGTTCCTTCTCTCTATCATAGCAAAAGAGCATGCAAGTCCCAGAGACTCCTATTTAATGCTAAAGCTTTTAAAATCTCTGCATACTTCTATGTTCAGCATAAGTAACTTTTCTTAATCGTCTCTGCTGTTCTAATAGGATTTGGAATACTTGTCTGAAGGTCTAGAAGGTCGCTCAACCAATCCTGTGGCTGTTCTCTTTGACACTCTTCTTCATCCAAATGCTGATTTTGGGTATGATTACCCATCTGTTCTGCAGTGGAAGCTGGAAGAAGAACACTACATTCCTCATATAGTTCTCGGTAAAGGACCTCCTGGTGGAGCCTGGCACGTAAGTTACCAATTAAGAAAAAGAAAGTAAACTATGTAAATAATTGGGGCTAACTGGTTAATGGGGGAGTAACGCCAGCTGTGCATGAGCCTATAATAACCATATAATCTCTACGGTATGTGGACAACATAATAGAAATGTCAAGGTCTAAACACAATCTGTCTGCTAATTTCCAAGACTGCATTGTACGTATTTCTGGAGCTTGTTTCTAAAATCAAACATTCTATTGTGTGTTATTTAGAACATTCTGCAAAAGGAGTTAGAAAATACAAAATCTGGTTTAACTGGACGTTTGCTAATAAAATGTATACAATAAATGGAGCTAAAGCTAACTTGAAGAGAAAATTTAAGATTTACGCAACTATTGTAGTGTTAAAAAAAAAAAAAAAAAAAGTTTAAATGGTGAGAAGAACTACTTTTAATGTGTTAACACTAGTGGTACAATAAAGACTTGCATATTGCTACCCCATCAATTGCTGTGTTTGATTAAATCAATCTGTATTGCATATTATTGTTTGAGGGCAAACTATTTGCAGAGCTTGATTTGAAATCTTAAGATCCTGTGTTCAAAAAGGAAATTTCTTCAATTTTGTTTCTGCTAGGATATGGAAGGATCCATGTTGACACTTAGTCTCGGAGATTGGATGGAGTTACCAGGACTGAAATTTAAAGACTGGGCCCTGGGTAAAAGACGGTATGTCATTGCTGATTTTAGTACGGCTGTTTAACATGAATGACTTTATTTTACCACTGCAATGCCACCATGGCAAGACATTTTAACATAAACAAAGAAACCATACTTTGAAAACCAGGTGTTGGTTTCATAGTAGAATACTACATATTTCCCCCCCTCCAACTTTGATAAACCTTGCCATTTGAATGCTGCTTCTAAAATGTTATACTCCTTTGCTTGCTAGTAAATATTGTTACTGGAATGTCCGACTGTCCCTTTTTTATAGATCTTCATTATGCCACATTTTTTTCCCTGTGAATTCAGATATCACAAGACATTTGTTGCGACTGATTTATAAGCTAGAATTTTGACAATAATTTTTTTCTTGTTCTGCCCCCACAGGAATTTAAAGACCGATCGAGCCACCCCTGCTGAAGTAGCTTCTTATTACAAACATTACATTAAAATAATGGGTCTCCAAAGAAATTTTATTGACAACACTTACATTACCTCGGTAGTAAAACCTTACAGAGAGCAAGAGGAATCTACAAGTCAAGGAAATGGAGTGGTGGTTGCCTCTGAGGAACCTCAGATCAGAGAAGGAAATGATGAGCCAGTGCTAAAGAAAAACTGGGAAATTCAAGGCTACACCAGAGCAGCTGATGGGTCTCACCAGCCCTTTTGTCTTTTTGCGGAGGCAATAGCTCTTGCGACAGGAACTTTTGATTCGCCAGCTCGACTTGGAGTGAGTGGTGAAGATCTGCCTTACGTTTCACACTGTATTGCTGAATTCGAGGCTGCTGTTAACAAAGGAAAATTAAGTGGATCAGTCGACCCAGTTTTGATAGTGGGTGCTGGGCTCACAGCAGCTGATGCAATTCTTTGTGCTTCTAACCATAACATTCCGATAATACATGCTTTTCGTAGAAGAGTTACTGATCCAAGTTTAATTTTTAAGCAGTTGCCAAAGAAGCTGTATCCTGAGTACCACAAGGTATATCATATGATGTGCATGCAGTCTCATACCACAGCCTCCAACTTGCACGCTTCTTATACCGGCTTTCCCGAGCATTGTGTACTTTCGTTTAAGCCAGATATGAAGTGTGTCCTTCAAGGTACCGGTGGATTAAAAAAAGTCTTAAAAATATCCATGGCTCTAGTTTTAATAGGGTCTCATCCTAATCTATCCTTCCTAAAAGAGCAAGGTAGAGGTTTGGGTCATCACCCTAACCAACCCATCACATGCAAGGGTAATCCAGTAGAGATTGATCCATACACTTACGAGTCGTTAAAAGAGCCTAATCTCTTTGCACTTGGACCACTGGTTGGTGACAACTTTATCAGGTTTCTAAAAGGCGGTGCTCTTGCCATAACCCGTTGTTTGGAGACGAGACAAAAGAATAGACATCGACTTGCCGAAAGTGATGGTGTGTCCTAGATACAGAAAATTGCCCGTGCTTTTCTGTTGAAATTCATTCCCATGTATAATATAAGAGATCTGTAGACCTGCAGATTCCATCAGTATGTGTTTTTTGGCACAGTGCAAACTTCGTTTCTGGATTCTTATTCTTACGCAAATGAAAAACCTAATGTGCTGCTTTCTGTAGAAAGACCTGCTGTTTTGTAGTGGTAAACCCAATTTAGTTTGTTCATGAACAAACCTATTTTGCATAATTACCAACAACTGGATTTCTAGTGTAAAACTCACTTTTACATTCATAGTTTTTTATTTTTTATTTGGGGAACATAATTTTAGTTTGTTTGGGATTTAGGTCAGAATATGCATATCAGAGCCCACAACACATTAGAGGTTTTTTTTTTTTTTTTAAATTGACAAGTGCATTCTAGGAGTAACACTAACAGTAAATAGTCTTCTATGACTCCTTAAACATGTACATTTCATTTTGTTACATTACAGTCCGTTACCTTTAAGGGAGTAATGAAAGTTTATGACAAGTTCTCGTAATGGTTTACAGTGTGTATATAAAGGTATTAATCAAAGTGCTCTTATAAAGATATCCTGACAATGTGATACTTTTTGTATTAATACTAGAATTTTGGTTTAAAAAAAAAACAAAACAAAAAACCCAAGCACTTAATTGTACACTTTAGGATTTTTTTAAAGTGCAAGGAGATAGACTGCCCAGCTAACCTGTGCATCATACTCCATCTAGAACCTACTGTGTGTATTTAAAGTGCATTGATTTTAGCACTGAATGTGGCACTTACATACTTCATACCTTTTCCTTGTAGGTAATGTAAAGCCTGCACACGTTGTTGCCATAAGAGTTCTGTTAATAAATACAGAACTTTAAAATTTACTAAATTTTATCTTTTTCTTGCCCCCCTATTGATGTTACTGTTATATTGTACATTGATTTTTGATTCCTACTTTACTTGCATGGTGATTGAGTAGGAAATCACATGTTTACTCTCAAACTCGCCTTTTTTGTTTTTTTGATTCTTCAACAACATTATCACTTTTCATCTAGAACAGTGGTTCTCAAACCAGTCCTCAAGACCCACCAACAGTCCAGGTTTTGTTAGTATCTCCATTGGCATAAAACAGGGAAATACATAAATCATGGACTGTTGGTGGGCCATGAGGACTGGTTTGAGAACCATTGATCTAGAACAAGCATCCAGCGCTATGGTTTCCTTGGCTCCCTCTCCGGTCTCCAAAAAAGAAAAATACATTAAAAAAATTCACCAGCAGCAATATATATATATGTATGTGTGTAAGTGGAATAATTTGGCATTATGGCTGCTAAATACAAAGTAGTTGAAAACAAATGTGAAATATTATATTCACTGTAAAAGCCTTTTTGTAGGGTATATTTAAGAGAAACCCATCTAGGGTTTAGTTTTGGGTTCTGTTAAACCAGAGTCAAAATAACTGCTTTGGCATCGTGCCCACGGAAGCTAACGTTGTATGTGCATGTGTAGTAAGTACTATGACTTGCTTCATGGAATGTATGCAGTTTGGGGAACCAAAGACATTGGGGTTCAGTGTTTTTATTGCTAAGATCTTGGTAATGGGGAAAAAAAGATTACTGCTCAATTTAAGGCTATCACTTGGCATATATGTGCTTTTATGTAACTAGGGTTTAAATGTTTGTATTAGGGAGTAACAAATGAATACAATGAAAATACATTTAATAGGTAACACACATTATCAGATCACATTCATTGCAAGTAATATAATATCTTGGCACAAAAACTATGAAATTGGATGGCAAATCACATTGTGCATGCTTGCTTTGGAGTGTGTGGCAAAAACTTCCCCTAACTGATAAAACTCATATATATTGATCGATTTAAAAAAACTATAAAGCGCTAGGCCACTGATGGTGATATATGCGCCAAGCTAAGGGTGCTTATCTGCCTTATACCCTCACACAACTATATCTCCTACCTCGTGTCCCCTTTGTGTAATAAATAGCTTTTTCATGGAACACTAATTTTAATTAACTGCTTTGAACTGGATAACCGCTTTTAACAACAAAACAATCATTGTAGGGAGTTGTAGATCTTGATGCTTAAATATTGTCCCATTGCATACAGCAATGATTACCATGGTAACCTTGGAATCAAATTTTTTTTCTTTTGTTAACTGTGTTCCATGATGCATCATGGGAAACTAGTTTACAGACCCTTTTTAGAGGTAAAGTTACCCATCAAGTATATGAAAGCGTCTTTATTTTATTAAAAAAAAATTTTTTCTGCCAACTTAGTTTAAACGGCCCAAGGACACTATTGCATGCTCCATTTGTCTATTCAGTTGGGTTTCCTCTATATAAAAATATGTATCAATATGCTAGTAACATTCAGTTTTACTGAACAGAAGCATGGCGGAGCTTTTGATCGGATGTGGTCATTGGAACGGGACCATATTGATTTTTGGTGGCTAAACTAACAGTTTATTAACTTGGAAAGTTGTGATTTGAAATTGTCATGATGCTTGTAGTCTGCACATACAGTGATATTTGTTACAGCAGATGTAATCCCACCCCTGGCAGTGTCATTACCAAGTCTGAAATTAGGTCTTTGTTGGTTAATGTCAATTCTGTGCATATTTTATGCATGGATAGTCATTTGTTGGCTGAGAGTGCTCTGCTGATGCTCTCAGCCAATGAATGAGCAGCAGGATTGTCTTGGGTTTCTGCAGCTCTGCATAAGCTGGACACGGTTTGAGATGTCATTGTGGGGCCCAGGTAAGAAGGCAAACCATTGCAAAACTGTTTGCCCCAATACAGTTCCACGGCACTTCTAACATTATAACCACGGCAGACCTCTGTAACCGTTCACAATATGGCAGATTATAGGGATCCTATAGACCCTTAGACCGCTTCCTTTTGATTAAAGTGGTTTGGGTGCAGTGTCCCTGTCCCCTTAACATTTTAGGGTTAAAAGTGCCCCTACTGGATGTCTACCAGTCAGCCACTAGAAATGCTTCCTGCAGTTTCACATAGTTTGACTTACTGAAACGACGCTGGATGTCCTCACACTTTGCACGAAGACAGCCAGGGTCTTGCAAAATCCTATAGGAAAGCATGGGAAAGGCCTAATGCGCATTAGGTTCCCACTTGCAATGTCGGAGGAGATTGAGCCAGGGCACAGGGACTTTGGTGCTGGAATCGAGTAACTGTTTAAAGGGGTTTTAAATCTGTGGTTGCCAGGGGGAGGTGAAAGACTGCAGACGGACACTATAGTGTTAATACATCTTTTTATCCCTAAAACTATAGTGTTCCTTTAAGACTCTCAAAAAATACAACCAGCACTTTGCAGATGAACAGACAGACTGAATGGTCGACCAGCAACAATTTTTCTTTGTTCCAATTTTAAGTTGTAAACCAAACAAAGCTGGATCACGAGGATAAGGTGAGTGAGGAGATGGATTATTGATTTAAATCCGAACAGCCCATGGGATATTGTGGGTGGTAGGAGAATTAACCAATATCGGTACGATTTTGATTATTCCACCATTAAAACACATTTCCACTGAATTCTTACAGGCATCTCCGCCACCATGACTATTTAAAGACAACTTGAAGAACTTTTTTTATATTGATTGATTGATATCTATTTACATGGCTTACATTTTTACAGCACTTTGTATGCATGCATGTTATCATACTTTTTTTTTTTTTTTTTTTATAGCAGAGCACCACCTATTAACACCAACTGCTAACTTAATTTAAAGCTTAACAAATTGGATTTTTTGTGGTTTATTATCCAATAAAGATTTTGCAGAACGTCTACTGTCTCAAAATAGCTAAATGGGGAAAGGCTCACCAACTTTTGACATAAAATTTGTAACTTCCTTAATTCTCCACAATTCCCAGTTTACTAAATAAAACCACTCAACTTTGTTCCATCATACACACGTCTGTCTGATCTTCAACATTTTTGCTCATAGGAGGCACAAGTATTTTTTTTTCTTTGATTTAATAATGGTTTTAAAATTAGACCTTTTTAGTTTAGATCTCTGTGCATTTCAATTGTCAAAACGGTATTTTACTTCAAGAATGTCGAGGGGATTCCACAACTGGACTGTGTCACTATGCCCCCTCTGTGTGATCTATGATTTCAGAAGGCTGTAATTCTGACATTGCCAGGGTTATTTATTAAAGGGAGAATGTTAAGTGAATTTCAAATTTAAGGACAGAATAGAAACATGAAAACAGAATCGATTTCTAATCCAGCTCTTTTTCTTTTCAAAGTGCTGTCTATTCTCATTTTAGTGATAGCCCATGTGTGTGTCATAAAGCAATATCTCTAATATTGCCTTGAAGTCTGTGTCCCTTGTAATTTGATTGCATGTGGACTCCTCTGCGTTGAAACCCACTACCAACCTCTGTAATCGTGCGAACTGGTCAAAATTAATTTCCCCACCTCGAGTCTGACTGAATTACTACTTACATATTGGCAGGGTTTTTACGCACACTTGCACTTTTCTAACTCTGTAGCAAACGTCCGTTTTTGTAACTTTAGACTCCCAAACAACTATTACCAATGAGTTCAATGCTATAATGGTTTCTTTGTGAAACGTCCATGTTATGGTCACAAAATGTTGTCAATCCTTTGTAAGTAGAATTGAATAATCTGTTAAGATGCTGTTTGTGACAATTTGCTGTGCAAAATATGGTGGTTGAGATTCAAATTTATATTATGCAACATAAAATTCATATGAAGAATAAACTCTAATTATGAAATGTTTCTGCATTGTGTTGAATGTGTAACAAGTTATTATACATGCGCACACACACAAATGTACAATTAACAAACCTTGGTCCAGCACTCACACACAAATTGTACTTGACCTAGTGTAATCTCTAGCTAGTGTGTACAGTTGCAACAGACCCTTTCAGTGCTCTACATTGTGCAGCTCTAGATTACAAACATGTACAAAATCTACAATAGACATAAACTCAAATGTATTAATTGCTTGTTCTCCCTATACAGTAACCCTACGTGTGGGTGTGGGGGGGCATTAACATTCCTGAGTTTTATCTAGACATTGATAGGCATGTTAATTTAAAGCAGTGTTCCCAACACTCTTGCTGAACTTTAATTACCACGATTCTCTGGCTATTTCATTCAAAGAATCATGGGAGGAGTTGTTGTTTTCCACACTCTGGTTGGCCAGAGTGTGGAGAACCCTGATTTAAAGGAACACAAATAATGTTTATTGGATGTACCCCAAATTAAAACCTGAATGAATTTAAAAAAAAAAAATTTCTTCCATTCTTGGATGCTGCCTTTGCAAACTCTCACCTTCTTTCCCAGCCCTGACTTTCTGAAGCTGTCCAATCACAGACTTGTACAATGTAGCTCAATGAAAAACCTTTGCAAGGCAGGTACTCCTGGACAATTGCAGCTTCTGGAGTTTTTAGCTCTACTGAGCTAACAAAACCAGGAAGTAACCAGACCATCTGTTTGACAGCCAGGAAGGTGTAACAAGGTTAAAAGGACACTATAGTCACCAGAACAACTAAAGCTTATTGGATTTGTTCAGGTGAGTAGAATCATTACCTTCAGGCTTTTTGCTGTAAACCCTGTCTTTCCAGAGAAAATGCACCGTTTACATTACAGCCTAGTGATAACTACACTGGCCACTCCTCAGATGGCTGTTAGAGATCCTTCCTGGGTCATGGTTGCCTATAATGCATCCAAACATTCAGTGTCTCCTCCCTCTGCATGCAGACACTGAACTTTCCTCATAGAGATTCATAGATTGAATCCATCTCTATGAGGAGATGCTGGTTGGCCAGGGCTGTTTGAAATGTGCTGGCTCTGCCTCTTTGTCAGTCTCAGCCAATCTTATGGGGAAGCATTGTGATTGGATCAGGCCACCACTTCTGATGATGTCAGCTGACAGCTTGTTTATCTGAGGCAAACCAAATGGAGAATTACAGCTTCAGACATGAATACAGCCCTCTGGTGTTTGTGCTTATCTTGTGTTTCAAGTTGTATTGGCAGGACTGAATTACCAGAAACCGATAAGTGCACTTATGCTTGTTGTTTTAAATCGTGTAATATTTTTTGCTTTTAACAGTTACAATGCCTGGATATTCCTTTTGTTCCATTTGATGTCTTCAGGGATTGGCCCTCCCTTTCTGGAGCACCGTGCAGGAAGTATAACCCCCCTCCTTTTTTAGTGTGTGCATACCCCAACATCTGACAGTCTTTCAATTTAGAGGGGGAGGGCTCATACGGTAACCACTTAATTAGCCTTAATACAAGTATGATGGGTATCCTCACTTCTTCTAGGATTTGGAATACCTGTACAGGTAATATTGATGAGAACCTTACCTAAACTACATAAGTAATCCTAAAAACTCCCAGGTAAACAGGTGTGTGAGTGTCAAATGCTGTATTTCTATGATAATTGTGATACAATTGTGCTTATATGAGAGAAAGTGACAAACTCTGGTGTCCGCTTCATTGACAATGCAAATTCTTGAACACACATTCCCTCACAGTTACTAGCATGAGTCAACGGTTTTTGTAATGCAGTCTTTTTTGTAACTGGTTAAGACACACACATTAATGATGTGTGAAGAAGCATCACAAAATAAAGTACCTTGCAAGCCCTTTATTCTTGAAAAGAACAATAACTGCCTGCTAACTACAAGGAGCGAAAGCACCACATTTATGCCTTCAGATAGTTCAAAGTGCAGATTTATTGTCCTGGTGAGATATAGAGAAAATGCAAACGATTTATGCAGAACTAATATGATTTAGTCAACAAGTAACTTTACAATGCTGTCTATAAAAAGACAAAATAAAAACTTTTACATTTTTTTTCCTTCTTTCATTAAAATGTGTTTGTGCACATTTTGTGAGTGTTAGCAGCCATATATCAATGTGGAACGTGGGCTTGAGGCAGTGTTTTATCTTCTTCTTTTCATAGACTTTGGATTGTATCTAAAAACGAAAAAAAAGAAAAGAAAAATACATATATTTTTATATCATTCAAAAATAGCTTTGTTATAAAAGTAACAAGATATTTATCCGCTGATCCTGATAACAGGGAGCCAGTCACAGTGCAATCATGCTTCAGCATGTCTCATGTTATAGACCAATCGTAAAAGGCCAGTTTTAGTAATCCAATACTTTTAAAAACAAACAATGGAAATTATATGATAAAGGTTTATAAACTTAGATTGCATTACTTGGCATGTTGCTCAGCTAGGGCAACATGTCCAGTATATTTTCTTAACAGGTATTCATTTTATTAGCTCAAATTGGCTTCACTGTTAGGGCAGGGGGGAAGGTAGTTATGGTCCTTACTCTTTAATTGGGGGTGGCTAAGTGTGCAACCCAGGAAGGGGTAAGAGGATGGACAATAGCATGTTCACCTTTACATTGTTTAATTAATTAAAGAACCCACAAGCCCCCCATGAGTGACGGGGGAATGGCATTAGATTCCCTCCCTTCAATATTTTAATTAGATCCAATGGGCTGGGTGAAGGTCATAGTGCTTAATATTATAGTTAAAATGACAGTGATCTGTCCAAACCTCATTATTTTTATGTCTCCCACCTAATGTTCATGGTTGGTGTCATAGGGGCACTATGCCCCCCAACTGTAATTTCACAGACCCAATCCCCATTGGCTGTGCCATTACTTGTTTTAAAGGTTAAGCAGATAGGCTCCCACCTGCGTACATATAGAGGTGAGATAACCCATCTCTTTAGGAAAGCTTATGACCTCCCAGAGTAACCTCTTTTTCACGTACCTGTCCCGTGCTCTCTCCTAAAGGACAGCACTCTACTCCACTCCCACCTTGTTTGATTGCTACCTCCTGTCCTGTTGTGTTTTACGCCCCACCTCCTATAGACTGTAAGCTTGTTTGAGCAGAGCCATCTTCAACCTATTGTTCCTGTAAGTTTTTGTAATTGTCTCATTTATTGTTAAATCTCCCCTTTGATAATATTGTAAAGCGCTACGAAATATACTGGCGCTATATAAATACCAATAATAATAATAATAATAATAATAAGTCTTACTCTCTTCTTATTGACCCCCATACTATGGGGGGTTCCATAGGTTTTATTTTATTTTTTTAAATTTATGTGGTGACTGGCTAGCAAGTGTTTGCCAGCCGTTACATAATTAACACTCGCATTGCCGAGGATTTTTAAAACTATTTGCCTACTGGCTGCTAGAGCTACTTAAAATGATCATTAATTTGCATTGAAAGCAAAAGAACGATAATTTGCAAATGTGCGTCCCCGCTGGATGAACAGAGTCCCACATTTATTACAACCAGTGCTTTGTGTATTTTTAGAATGCTATACTCCTATATGAATGTGGATATCAATCCGGACTCCGAATGCATCCTCGCAATTGCTGTAGATTAGTTTGTGTCATTTTAACTGGATCTTGTGCATCCTGACAAAATCTGGTGTTTGGTAAATAACCCCGTCAGACAAGAATTGTAGATATATTGGGGAAAAGAAGGAAGAAAGAAAAAGTCTATATGTATCACTGAAGAATGTGTATGGCGTGGATACATAAATAGCTGGGATACTATAAAGTGATTAAACATTCCCTTGTTTCAAATCCCATTTACTAAGCCCTATTTGCTTACGCAAGGAAAATCTGAAGCCAGATTGCATCATCACTTAGCTGGAAATTAAATTGCCGGCTGCTGCTGTTTCTAAGCAACTTCTGATTATCTTTACAGAAAGGCAGGAAGGAAAAACACAGCAACCACTGCAAGTAACTCTGCTTCACAGCCAGAGCGCGAGGAAAGGCTGAGCCAGTAACCTCTTCTCAAACAGAATGCTTTTGTCCATGTACCTTATTAAGCAAACAATACAGCAAATATTTGCAGAAAAAAAGCATATAAAGTTAAAAAAAGTAATGTACTTTTTCTGTTTTCATGATTTCAACACAAGGTGATTTAAAACCCTGCTAATGGTATAATTTTGCAGTTTTTGATGTACATGTAGAGATGATGTGTTTAGAAAATCCATGTTGGATTTGGGTACTCCACTTATTTTTTAATTCTCACTCCCACTTCTGCACCTCACCCAATACCCACAATGTTGCAATTGTTCGTTGCTCTTCAAAAACAGCCTGACAGAAAAGGCTACAGCCTTTAAACAAAATATAGAGTCAGTGTTCATGTAACAAGGAGGAAGAGGGAGATATCGTGTGTGTGTAGGTTTGTGTACACACACACACACGTACACAAACATACATACATAAAAAAACAAACTGCTTCTCTTTTGTAAATAGAGAAAATAAGCTTAAGGTAGAGGAACAAAGGTTGAAGGTAACACAAAGTTCTTATAAATTATTTAGTGGTATAACTAACCTGAATAGATCCTCAGCCATCAATTCTTCCTGGGCTTGCTGAGTTTGTTCCTGCAGATATAGTCAGTGTCAATGTTAAGAGATGTTTATTGCAATAGCGCTATATACAAATATGAAGGACATGTACAGACTGGGCAATTATTGCTCTAGTGAACCAGACAGACATCATGTACTACCTGCAACCCATTGAGAATTCAAATTTTACAGGGGGTTTAGTAACGCCACTTAGACTAAAACTACACTAAAAACTACACTAGAATTAGCAATGTTTTCACTAAAACGATACTTTTAAATCGATCTCAATCTACAGCTATACTTTCACCATACTCAGAGAAAAGGCAGTGTTTACATTACTGCCTACTAACACCTCTAGTGGCAGTCAGATGGCCACTAGAGGTGCTTCCTGGATTAGTGCTACACATTGTGCAGCGCTGGCATTTAGCATCTCCACGCTTTGCATGGAGGCACTGAGCGTTCCACATAGAGATGCATGGATTCCTGTGGACATGCATTAGATTGGCTAAGATCATCAAAATTTAAAGATCTCAGCCATGCATGCAGAGCCGAGTGGGGCCAGCCTCGGGGCTGGAAAAGGTGAGTAAAATCACTTTTTTATGTAAAGAGAGAGGGCCAGGAACCTAAATATTTATTCACCACGATAGTAAACATATACATGTTTGTGTTCCTGACACTATAGTGCGCTTTTAAATTTTGATATAATGGAATAACACCAGCTAGAGTCTCTACATTAACTAAAGTGAGAGTTCAAAGATAATTTTCAAATTACTCAAAGGCATGAGTAGCCAAACTGAAAGGATAGCAGACTTAGAAGATTTTTCAGGTTTGGCAATTTTGACCTTCAATTTGAAATTTACTTTGAATTCACCTTCAATTCTCACTTTAGTGAAAAACCATGTGAGCATTGGAAGAGATCACCAAAGTTTCCTTAATGGCACTCTTCCACCATGAACAAAAAACATAAGGATGGTTTAATTTTATTTTCTTACATGATCCATTGCTCTACCAAATGCATATTACAGCTCAAGTGTCTGCAGTATCCCAAGTAATTACGTATAATATACAACTATATGTACGGTCACCCTTAGCTTTGTTCATTTGTCTCCAGCAATCGGACATGTGTAACCTAAAGGGGGTAAAACCTGTCAACCAAATCAGAAAGCACATTTTCTGGAGGAATTAGTACAATGACTAACAAAATGAATTTGCAGAGGTTACGGTTATCCACAAGAAACCCCCTTTACAACTCAAGCTTATCTTGTCCCTTCAAGTCTTAATAGTAGTTTATTTAATTTTGTCATGAAAGGAAATCCCATAAACTGATAAAAGCAAATATATAAACTGTATATATAGCTGATGCTCAGGTTCCAAAGTGAGTGAAATTTATTCTACACTGGTTACAAAATACATTGTGTTTTCAATACACAATATAGTTATATTATTACAGTACTCTCTATGGTGCTTTCTTTTGAGACTGCTCTTCCCACCTCTAGTTCACATAGAGCAGGTGAAGTGGCGGGTGTGAATATGGTTCTAAGTACATGGTGAATGTAAGTTCTAAGTTACAGAAGTAAAACCAGTAAAGGTTGATAAAAAATAAAGTAACATGACAGTTAATATAATGGGCACAGGACATAGCTACTTCTCAACATCAGAGTAGAATGCTATATTCCATTATATTCTTATGTATCTTCGGGAATTCCATCTCCTCTTACCTCAACTTCCTGACGTAACCATTGTTCAAGCTCTGAATTTTTCTTTCTATCATGAGCAATCAAGTCAGAGCCTCCAATGATATGCGGAAACACCCCAGCTCCTGGGTACGCTATCTAGTAAGGCAAAGTAGGCAGAGATTAGAAAGAAAATCCAACAGCACACTCGTTCAACAAAATATACAAACGGATTAATAAAACTTGTAATAGAAATGCATACACACCGTAGGGAGCCAACATTTACCAATTAATTTAAATTAATAAAAAAAGTTTAAAATATGAGAATCATGCATAATTAAGTGCTTTAAAACAAAAACACATTAAATAATAGAATAATGATACATTGTAAGATGTTTAACATAGCAGTGCTATAAACAGAACTTAATATGTATGTTTAACAGCTTATGTTTAACAGCTTATTTGTCGCATTCAAGAATGTCCAAAAGAAAGGCATAAATCATCTTAAAAAAATGAAAACGGACTCACAGGAATTTCTTTTAAAGTAAACCTGTTGTGTCAAGTTTACATTAAGTGGAATCCCCCATAGTCAATGAATATATTCATTTAAAATTTTGAGAAAAATAAACCAAGGCTGCTAAATAGTAAATAAATAAATGAATGGCCAGAAGATCAATGTCACTATATCAATAGGAACAGATAAGGGGGTAACCCTAAACAAATAATAACAAAAAAAGAGGCAAAAATCTGTTCCAACACTATCAAGTATGACATACGATGGACAAAGTAATCATAATTAAAAATCTCGAAGATACTTTATCATTAAACCAAAAACACATATACCCTAGCTATGACTGCCTGACTTAATCGAGAAGTCCATTACGGCAGTGCAAGCAAAAATATGCACACAATAAAAGGTGAGAAATGATAACAAAAAACGTAGAAACAAAACTAAGCAAAATAAATTGGACTCCCACTAGGAAAGCTATGCAGCATGTATCAACTTAAGTTATTATCAATGTATCATAACCAGATCCGATACAATATTGTGTCCATGTATCAAAAGAAGTAACTAACACGGAGTAAATAGCCGCAACCTGTGGGAATACCACTACATAACCTGTCCATACACATCCAGCCCGTTCACCGGTCTCCGGTAAAAAGGGAATCAGATTGTCAATCGATAAAGTGTAACTGGCAATGATATGCCGGTTACCTCAATAAAGAAACCGGAGTGCTAAATTAACTAAACTTAATATGAAGCAAATAAACGTAAAAATAGTGAGAAAGGTGCCTTCAAGAGCACATGGTATAGATAAAGTAAGGAAAAGAAACAAAGTCCTAATGCTATCAAACAGAGAACCGGAAAACTCGTGCATAGCAAAATAGTATATCTATTAGTTTACTAATTGATAACTAGTCTGTCTGTGATCCATGCATAATGATCAAATGTCTACATTGTTATGGATACCTAAGTAGCTCACGAGTGTATCCCTTTATCGAACTCTACCCATCAAGGTAAGGGGATATCCAAGAGAACGGGAGACAGAGCAATTGGTTAACTAAATAATAACAGTCGTCGAGCCCCGACGCGCATTTCGCTTTAGATTAAAGGCTCATCAGGGGGAACTGACTCACTGGTTTGCCAGGGTTTAAAAAGCCCGCCCTTGGATCTCATAGGTCACATCCTGGAATATGGGGATATAACTGAGTAGGGTGGCCGGGATGGCTCAAGAGATAAAAATAGCCGAGCTCAATTCAAAAAGGTGGGGTGCATGGTAATATAACACATAATGTAAACCCAACCTGACTTATCAACGCTGTTAATAATCACCATAGCCATATAATAAAAATGATCAAATCAAAATAATATCTGCGAGCCACTGTACCAATTAAAGTGTTTTTGTATGAGTTCTAAAGCGAACTACTAATCTACTGAAAGTATAACAAAAAATATAATAAATACAGAAGTAATAATGTCCAAGACGTTATAATATGTAACAATACATTTCTAAAATCGGCTGACAAAGGGGGCAACATTGTCCTTATGAATCGATCTGATTATGATAGTATGTGTATGGTACACGTTGAGGATACTATGTATTATAGGACGCTCCCTTCGGACCCTACGACTAACTTTGTTAGGGAATTGGACAATCTTTAAAATGATGCGCTAGACCAACAGGTGATTAACAAAGATGAATTTAGTTTCTTACTTCCACATAAAAATCCTACTATTGCAACATTTTATTGTTTGCCGAAGGTACATAAGGGCATTAGACCCCCTCCTGGTAGACCTATTGTGTCTGGGAACAACTGTCTTACAGAATCTCTTAGCAGATTAATTGATAAAATTCTACATCCTATGGCGTTATTACCATCGTATCTTAAAAATACTAAGTCTACTCTTTTAACACTACAAGATATGACACTACCACCCTATACCCAACTTGCTAGTTTGGACGTGGTGTCATTATATACTAACATTCCTCATGAAATGGGGTTGAGGGCATGCCGATTCTTTCTACATCATACAATGATCAACAGAAAAATTTCATCTTGGCCCTTCTTGAGTTCATTTTGACACAATTATTTCACGTTCAATGGCAGTTATTACCTTCAGATCTCTGGGACTGCCATGGGGATGGCCTGTGCACCCACCTATGCCAACCTGTTTTTGGGGTGGTGGGAGCAGCATGTCGTCATGACACCTCAATTCAGCCACTTTTATCAATACATCTTAAGTTGGCATAGATATATTGATGACATGCTGCTCCTGTGGACAGGATCCGTCCCCATGTTTGAGGACTTTGTCAAAGCCCTCAATGATAATGACATTAACCTTAAGCTTACTTACGTAATAGACGAACATGAGTTGGTATTTCTGGATCTTAAGATCTTACGGCAACAGGATGGTACCATCCAGACTGAATTGTTTAGAAAGGCTACGTCTACTAACAGCTTACTACACTGGGAGAGCCATTATCCCTATAGCCAATATTTAAGGGCAAGGCGTAATTGCTCTATTGATCAAACTTTTTACAACGAATGTAAAATATTGAAATCTTGTTTTAGGGAACTTGGGAATCCCAACTGGGTTTTAAAACGAGCGTTTCATCGGGTATGCAGCATTGATAGGAATACCAGCCCTCATTTTACCAAACCTAAAAATGAAGGTAACACTACAAGATATGACACTACCACCCTATACCCAACTTGCTAGTTTGGACGTGGTGTCACGTTTTTAGGTTTGGATGCATTGCTACATTTGACCAAGGTTGGGGACCTATGTCCCAAATCCTTAAAAACAATTGGCAAATACTTTTACATAATCCTATACTCCAACAGGTGTTACCAGCTTATCCACCTCTAACAGCGCGTCGACCATTGAATTTACAGGACCAATTTGTCCACAGCCATCTGGCATCCCCTTTACCATCTACCAGCTGGTTATCTAAGACTAAGGGGACATTTAAGTGTGGGTATTGCAAGGCCTACCAATATATTTTGCCCTCTAAATTTACCACGTCCACCCAAACCCAGATTAGGGTTGAGACTAATGCCTTAGTCAATTGCAGTTCTACACAATTGATCTATTTGATCACCTGTAGTTGTGGTACCCAGTATATCAGTAAAACGTATCGAGTTTAGGTGCAGGATTCTGCAACATATCTGTCAAGAATGCTGTCACCCAAACTCTGGTAGCAAGACACATCCGGACAATTTGAGATTGAAAGCTATTGAGAAATTGCTGGGAACACAACAAACGACAAATACACACGGACACCCGTGAGAAAAAGTGATAAAACACAAAAACTTAACTGATGGGTACACTGCTTCCCAAGGTTATTTCCCAGCTGATAAACATATAAAAAGACTGTATAATTGATAGGATATTTTGGGATTCTGCTAGTGTACCTACAATAGAGGCAAAACATAGTGCAAATATTGCTAAACACTATAAAACATCTAATGATTAATATGCACTCACATATTCCAAAAAGTTAAGCGTATTATGGGTGCCTCCCCTCGATGTAAATGGGGGGTTGTTTTCCTTTAAATATTCCTCCTCAAGTGATAGCCAGTGGGGTATCCAGGTCAGCAAGGAATACTTCAAAGGCGATTTATTCACTTATAAAATCAGGAGGTATACAAATAAAAATTCATAAAAACAAAATAAGAAAGATGTTGGTCCTACGCATTTCGTCCTTTTGCAAAAGGACTTCCTCAGGGACCTCTTTCAATAAAAATCAATCAACAAGTGCAGAAATAAACAGCATCCTAAAAACGCTAACAAACAAATAATCTTATATAGGGCTAATCCCTTCAAGTCATTGGTGGAATAGTGGGTGTCTCCTCATCTCTCGGTTCCTATTCGTCCAGAGTTCCTTCTCCCCAGGTGTGATCGCTTTGCCGGGATAAAATGCCGGGTTCGTTCAATATTCGGCCACTTCCGCATACGGAAGATTATTTGTTTGTTAGCGTTTTTAGGATGCTGTTTATTTCTGCACTTGTTGATTGATTTTTATTGAAAGAGGTCCCTGAGGAAGTCCTTTTGCATAAGGACGAAACGCATAGGACCAACATCTCTTTCTTATTTTGTTTTTATGAATTTTTATTTGTATACCTCCTGATTTTATAAGCGAATAAATCGCCTTTGAAGTATTCCTTTGGCTGCAGTTTGTGGATCTCCTTGCTGACCTGGATACCCCACTGGCTATCACTTGAGGAGGGATATTTAAAGGAAAACAACCCCCCATTTACATCGAGGGGAGGCACCCATAATACGCTTAACTTTTTGGAATATGTGAGTGCATATTAATCATTAGATGTTTTATAGTGTTTAGCAATATTTGCACTATGTTTTGTCCTCTATTGTAGGTACACTAGCAGAATCCCAAAATATCCTATCAATTATACAGTATTGAGAAATTGCTACCTAATCCTCAAAAGGGCGATTTTAATAAAACTCTGCTCAGGAAAGAATCACAGTGGATTTTCTCGTTTAAGACCCTGGTTCCTTCGGGTCTTAACGAACAATTCAACTATACAGCATTTATACACAATTAAAACTGTTAGTTATTTATACACTAACTAATGATCTCTCCTTCTTAAACCTTTTTAGGGTCTGTACAACAATCTTTTAGACTCGGAAGGCAGATGTCTCCTCTTTTGGCACTACTTATTGTTACATATTATAACGTCTTGGACATTATTACTTCTATATTTATTATATTTTTTGTTATACTTTCAGTAGATTAGTAGTTCGCTTTAGAACTCATACAAAAACACTTTAATTGGTACAGTGGCTCGCAGATATTGTTTTGATTTGATCATTTTTATTATATGGCTATGGTGATTATTAACAGCGTTGATAAGTCAGGTTGGGTTTACATTATGTGTTATATTACCATGCACCCCACCTTTTTGAATTGAGCTCGGCTATTTTTATCTCTTGAGCCATCCCGGCCACCCTACTCAGTTATATCCCCGTATTCCAGGATGTGACCTATGAGATCCAAGGGCGGGCTTTTTAAACCCTGGCAGACCAGTGAGTCAGTTCCCCCTGATGAGCCTTTAATCTAAGGCGAAATGCGCGTCGGGGCTCGACGACTGTTATTATTTAGTTAACCAATTGCTCTGTCTCCCGTTCTCTTGGATATCCCCTTACCTTGATGGGTAGAGTTCGATAAAGGGATACATTTTAGACATTTGATCATTATGCATGGATCACAGACAGACTAGTTATCAATTAGTAAACTAATAGATATACTATTTTGCTATGCACGAGTTTTCCGGTTCTCTGTTTGATAACATTAGGGACTTTGTTTCTTTTCCTTACTTTATCTATACCAGGTGCTCTTGAAGGCACCTTTCTCACTATTTTTACGTTTATTCATATTAAGTTTAGTTAATTTAGCACTCCAGTTTCTTTATTGAGGTAACCGGCATATCATTGCCAGTTACACTTTATGGATTGACAATCTGATTCCCCTTTTACTGGGGACCGGTGAATGGACTGGATGTGTATGGACAGGTTATGTAGTGGTATTCCCACAGGTTGCGGCTATTTACTCCGTGTTAGTTACTTCTTTTGATACATGGACACCATATTGTATCGGATCTGGTTATGATACATTGATAATAACTTAAGTTGATACATGCTGCATAGCTTTCCTAGTGGGAGTCCAATTTATTTTGCTTAGTTTTGTTTTTCGTTATCATTTCTCACCTTTTATTGTGTGTATATTTTTGCTTGCACTGCCGTAATGGACTTCTTGATTAAGTCAGGCAGTCATAGCTAAGGTTGCTAAATGTTACACTATTCAACACAACATCTACCAGCCTGCATTCAAATAGATTTAGCAATATTTAGTCACCTCCCAAGGGCACCCATATTGGATGGGTGCTCTTTTGGAGGTAACCACAGGAAAACATAAATTGAGGAGTATCTTGAAGCAGTTGAAAGTGAAAGTATTGCAAGTTATCATGTAAATCAGTGACGTCACAGTACAGATATTTGGGTTCTGTGACGTAGCGTTGAGCCTAGCACAATATGGTCATATGGTATAACTGAATCCTCATATTTGTTTGCCGAGATAGGTGATTTTAAGTAACCTTATAAAATGTAAAACTGTATTTGTATGTGTATGCGTGCATTCCTTCAACAATTTTTTTTTTTTTAATATGCTTTGGTCTTTATGGTAGCACCACTACTTGGAAATGCATGTTCTGTGTGTGACCTTAAATGCCATTTTTATAGTGAAAAGCTGCACATACAAACTGAGCACCATGACAACTGAAAATCATTGAAGTGGTTATGGTGCTTGGAGTAACCCTTTAACCATTTGGCAAACGCCATCACAATCCAGGTAGGACAAGGCAAACATTGCAAATAAAGAGGGCAAATTGAAACCTCTGATAGATACATTTTAATAATATCAATTATACTTGATGTCATGACGGTTTAGTGTGGAGATTGTCATTTCAGAATTCACACAAACCTCATTGTACAATTTGAACAACCAAGTAGACTATGATTTTAACAGTAGTACCCACTTCAAACTGTGCATGTAGTCTTTGCTTTATTTTCTACATCGGTATCTCTTTCTTGCGTTTCAATTTTACTGTGTTTATCTAAGTTTTTTTTTTTTTTTAATGCAGACAAGGAAAAGATGGATTTCAATATTGTGTTTTCTTTTTGAACAATAGATCAAAAAGTAAAACCTGAACAGAGGCATATCTCAGCAAGAGGTGTTGTAAAGAAAGAAAGATACTTATCAGTGTGACTGATTACAGACATACCAAGATAGTATGTGTTGGAAAAATGGTTTCCAACTTGAAAATCAAGCACATTCCAAATGTGTCATGCCATAGCACCTGAAAAGAAGAAAACTGCTATAACAGACAAAATGTAATTATTATTATTACAGGCACTTTTAAAATTATGCTTTAGTAAATCATACATTAGACATACTTTCAATACAGTATTACCTTCCTGAATTTCTTAAAATTAGGTAGATTTTCATGGTTTGTATTTGTATTGAACTGCTTATTTGTGGATGGTCGACAAACCGTGAGCGATCGAAACTCTGTCAGTAAGAGCTTGCTAGGGAGTCCATCATAGTCATTTTCAATTTTTGGTCCTTTGGTAAACTGAGGAAATGAAAATAAACTATTTAACAGCCATAACAAAATAAATATTTAAGAATCTATAGCTCTTTTAAAGGCAGCAAAAGGCATTACAAATTATCAGCAAACACCAATAACAGCCCCTCATTGTGTGGCTACATGACATGACTACAGGCTAGAAGCTAAACTGAATGTACAAGTTACTAGTAAATAGTGCAACTCTTCATATTAAATGTATTGCCAATGAAAGCTTAGCATGATAAAACTAATTTGGAACGAGTTCTAGTTTGGGGATATTGTATTTTAATGCCAAAATAATTAAGATTTAAAAGAAATGTATTATAATATTTAATATTTAAGGGTCATTAAAGGGATTATCCTATGCCAGGAAAACAGTTTTCCTGGCACTGCAGGACCCTGTAGTGCCCCTCCCTTCCACCCCAAGTTGCTGAAGGGGTTTAACCCCTTTAGTGACTTACCGGAGTCCAGCGCCGATGTCCCTCGCTGGTCAGGCTCCGCCTACTCTCCTCCCCTGCCTACGTCAGCCGGGGGGGAGACCTAATGCGCATGCGTGGCAATGGCCCGCACATGCATTAGACCTCCCCATAGGAAAGCATTATTCAGTGCATTCCTATGGGGATTTTGGCGACGCTGGAGGTCCTCACATAGCGGGAGGACGTTCAGCATTGCTTAAAACACTTTTTGTGTTCTAAGAACACGGAAGTCCCTCTAGTGGCTGTCTGGTATATATCATATGTATAACAGTAATCTAGAAGTGATGGTTTTATTTACAGCTAATTAAGCCAGTTTTCACCTAAATTTCCATTTCTGAAGACCACTAAGTTTACAGTGGCGTGAAAAGAAATAAAAACAGACCACTTTTTTGTCAAAAATACACAATGGTTTATTTAAAAATTATGGTTAGGGTGTAAAATAAGGCAACAGATGAAAACAAAAATCTGACAGATTTAAAGGGCTACTCCAACCTGTTATAGAGGTTATGATGGTAGGGGTACCTTGGTGTCATTCCCCAGTAATGACAATAGGTTACCCTCTTACCTAGTCCTGCTGAGTGTTAGGTCTCCTGTAAAGAAGTATTTACAACACCTGGATTCGATCACGACGCTTGTTCATTGTCTGCCTGCTTAAAGCCAGTTAATGAGTGTCTAGGCATCTAAATTTGCATGGAATTGGCATTAGCCAGCCCAGAACTCTTGTTCCAGGCTGGCTAATGACACCCCTATGATGCTGCAAAAGGTGGAGTAACACCTCTGGCAGCAACAGCGTAAAAGGGACACTACAGTCACCACAGCAACTACAGCTTAACGTAGTTGTTCTGGCGAGTATAATCATTGCCTTCAGACATTTTCATGCAAACACTGCCTTTTCAGAGAACATGTAGTGTGGCAGAACTGATTAGGACAACCCCACAAATTGTAGGAATTGCTGTTAAAGAATCCGTTCACAAAATTGGTTTGTTTGCAGACGATATAATCCTAGCTATCAAAAACCCAAAAGAATCTTTGAGACACCTCAAGGATATTTTAACTCAATTTGGTGAGATATCATATTACAAATTAAATGAGTCCAAAACTCAAGCCCTCCCGTTTCATTTAAACAATTTGGAAACTATTGCCCTTAAGAAATCATATTTATTTGATTGGAGAACTGAATATATGGAATATCTTGGCATTAATTTATGCAAAAATTTGGTCAATATGCATAATCACAACTTAAGGAAAGCATGGTCAGACCTACAAAAAGAGATGGAGTGGGATGGAGCTCTCTTGGCTGGGGAGGGTCGCATCTATTAAAATGACGATACTCCCCAAAATTTTATATTTTTTAGGACCATTCCTCTGTCCATCCCATTATCATTTTTTAATAAAGTCCACTCGACGATGTTGAAATTTATCTGGGGGAACAAGCCTGCCCGAGTGAGGCTCACTTCCCTGCAGCACCATAAATCGAACGGCGGTATCGGTGTCCCTGATATCCGCAAATATTATTTTGCCACTAACGCTGCAGTGGTTGTGAGCTTTAACAATCAGGATGATAAACCCAGATGGATGGAAATAGAGGAATCTAAAATTTCACCGGTTAGGTTATCAGAATTACCTTGGTTAAATTCTAAGAAAAGACCTGGAATTACTAAATTATTTTTATCTACCAAGACTACGCTTAAGGCCTGGGACATTGTTTTTAAAAATGACCAGTCTCCCAGTTTATATAGAGCAATGCCTATTGAGTTATTGAAAAATTATATACCATCCTTAAAAATAGAATTATTGAAGGATTGCTCTATAACTAATCTGGACAATTTTTTTTATGGAAATGCTATTCTTTCTTTGGAAAAATTGAAGCTTAAGTATGGATTGTCAAATGTATGTGAACTGGAATGTATGCTAATCATTGATAAATTGAAAGAACTATATCAGGTACCTGAAACAGATAAAAACTATAAATCACTTGAGTTATCTCCTTTAGAGAAAGTTTTTTTATACAGCCCCGCTAGTAAAGGTATGATATCCTTATGTTACTTATCTCATAATGCCAAGCCCTTAATTAAATTAAAACATATGCTGTCATGGGAGACGGAGTTGGGTGCCCAGTACGATTTAGAAGAATAGTTCGGTTTCTTTAAAGGTTTAAAAGGTATTTCGTATTGCACCGACCATTTTGAAAATCATTATAAAATCTTATATCGTTGGTACCTGGCTCCGTCTAGATTACATAACATGAACAATATGTATTCTGACCGGTGTTGGAGAGACTGTGGGGGAGTGGGCAATATGGCCCATATCTGGTGGTTCTGCCCCAAGTTAATTAATTATTGGAAAATGATCCACGATCTGATTATTAAAGTGAACGGAACCATTAGTATCTTAACCTCGGAACTAGCCTTATTTAAAAAACTCCCGGAGTCCGTTAATAGATCAGATAAAATAATCATAGGCCACATTCTGATCGCTGCTACATCCTGTTTACCTAGACATTGGAAGTCTCAAAATGTGCCATCTCTTAGAGAAGTTTTTAATTTGATTTTAGAAAATAAGGCACATGAATTATCACACAGAGCCAATATGCATGGTTTCCCAATACTAAAATATAATTGGGATAAATGGGAAGAAAAAAATCAAAACAGTTTATGGTCTTTAATATATTTATTGTTAAAGTGCATTGTTGTAAAACATTTTTCTTTTTGCCATATACTTTAATATGTTTATTTCATTGATGGATGGATACCCCTTCCCATTTCCAAGTTACCCCTCCTTTCCTACCCCTAATACAATGTTTGTATTATTATCATTTGTTATACAAAAAACTTTAATAAAAATTATTTGAAAAGAGAACATGTAGTGTTTACACTGCCTCTAGGGACACCTCCAAGTGGTCACTCCTCAGATGGCCACTGGAGATGCTTTTTAGGGCAGTGCTGTACAGTAAGCACTGCCTACACCAAACCACCCTGATGCTGACGAGAGTGGATGCCCTGGAGGAGAGAATCCGCCAGAAAAACGTGAAGCTAAGGAGAGTCTCGGATGCAATGGCGATAGAAGAGCTACCTCACTTCATTAGGAGACTAGTTAATATACTACTCCCAGCAAAGCAAGCCAAGCAATTCACAAACTTCTGAGCGTACCGCATCGCCAAATCTCCGAAGGCACTGCCTACGGCCTCAAGAGACATAATCTTACGTTCCGGGACAAGACAAACAAGCTTTGATAAGAGTTGTTCACAATAAGTCACTACTGGACCTTTAGTCTCATAAGATATCGATCTTCCAAGATCTACACAGCTCCACCTTACTTTGGAGGAAAACTATGAAACCCATCACACAACTTCAGGAGGCAGGAATATCGTATAAATGGACTACTCCTAGAGCCCTTATGGGCACCAAATACCACCACCTTCTTGGCAGCGACTGGAGTGGGAGATGGTCCACGAGAGCGGAGGGCACAGGCCACCACCAGCACCTGGGACGTGTACAATATAACCCCCTTCACCCCAAGAAGCAGACAAGATGCAGTGACATAGGGGAACAAGACATCATTGTTTCTGTCTCTTACTCATTCTCAACTTCTTCTCCCCCACACACCCTCACTATGCTAATAGTATTTCTAACCAGTTTTTATTTCCAAATATGACAAACACCAAAGAAGGCTCCTTCAGAGCCAACTGACAACTAGTCATCTATCTTCCTCCCTACCCCCCGTTGACCCCATAGGTTAGGGGACCCACTTGACCTCCACAATCCAGGGTATATCCAAGCGCCTTGACGTAACGAACGATAGCTAAACCAATATGTTAAAATGCAATGTTCTCACTTTACTGTTTTTTTTTCTTACTCGGTTTAGTGCCTGAATATGTACAACACACCCAAGGACAACCAGCCGGGGAACTTACATCTGAACACACGTCACTAACAAATCTGGTTTCCTTGACGACAAGTTAATATAATGTCTGTTGTGAGAGGTGTTGTCATCAAAGCACATGACCTAGTTTAATATAACAAAAATACAGGTGAACATAAAATGTCTACAATGTTATGTGAATGTAGTCACTGCGACTCAAACTTGTATGCATGTTTTAACTGAATGTCGTAATGCCTCACCTGCAAAAATAAAGAATAAAAAAAAAAAAAAAAAGTTACGTTTGTAATTGTATGGTGCACACATCCCAAGCAGGCGTTCACCACTCAAATCTCCGCTAGCTTTCCGCATACTCTTATAACTGTCCCCCTATCCTCTTAGTTCATGAAAAAACATGAAAAACTATATAGTAAGGCACTGCTGGGCATGGCTCTCAGTTATAAACTCACTAAGGACAATGTGAGTGTCAGGATTGATTGAAATGTTTCTGTAATCATACAAAAAAAATAAAAAAAATAGTACATTCTTGATCCCTTTTTTCTTGTTTGTATGTTTTGTATGTGTTTAATACACTTAAAGTAAAGAAACAATATAAAATTATGCTATGAAAAAAATCAACTACATTGCCAAACTTGTGGATTTATAAACAATAGCATTTATGTGTTGAAATGACAAACAATAAGGGAGATTGTGTCTCACTCCAGAATGCAAAAATCGTACCTTTTTCTCTTGACTTGGAGATTCTGGTTCTTTCTTTATTCCCATATTTAAAGTACAAATATCCTATAGAAGGACAAAAAAAAATATCACTCAAATGTGGCTTTATAAAGCAAACATATCCAATTTTAAAAAGTACTAAAGAGAGATTAAAACCAGATTGTACTATACACAACATGCATTGGCCTGTGTCAATAAGAGGATCAAAATGTCAACATTAATCTTTTTAAACAAACAAACAACTGTTGCTAGAATAAAAAGCTGATAAAATGGCTTATATTCTCCATTCTGAATTAAAATGAAATTGGATATTATGTAGATATGCAGTCTAAAAGAATCATAACTAGACGGTATCAACTGCAATGCAAATACAATCCTCGTTTGTCTGAAATTTTTTTTTTAAATCTAAATAAAACAAAATCAAGCAATGTGTGATTGTTCAGTGAAAATGCACTGCACTTTCTTTCAAGTAGGTGTAATGCAATATAGTTATATTGTGCACGCACATTAGCATCCCAATAATGTTATTATACAAAACAAAATAGTGTTATCAAATACTGCAGCATCAACAACAAACTAAAAACGTAAAGCAGAAAAAAAGTGTTTCACTTCTGTGCAGCAAAACCACTATGGGTCTCTTATAGTGGATTACATACATTGGGTAGATAAACCCTTTTTCAGTCTGCAATGCCCTAAGGATATTGTACATTGAGAAAGGGTTGTCTACTCAAAACATTTGTGTTGTTTGGTGTCCTTCATTAAAACGGTGATACTCCGGTGCACTTGGCATTCTGGCTTTGGTTTCCATTAATCTGAATGGTGGAATTTAATTTTCAAATAGAACATTCCTCAAAAAGCACTGAGTTAACTTCTTTGTTAAGCATAAAAGAGTGAGGTATAATGAAAAAATCCCCCCCCCTCCCGAAAACAAAACAAAACAAAAAAAAAAATCAGAAATGGAAGGAAGGGGGGCATAACATCCTCCCCTCTTTCTCTAAATAGTCACACCAGGAAAAACACCAATGGTACAATGGGAACTAATGCCCTATGCACCATTGGATTTTATGTTTCTTTTACTTGTAAGTGCATTTCTTGAAAGTTGGGCATTTAAAAATCAAACAATGATGACATATCTAGAAAGCTAAAAACATCATGGTGTCCTTTTTCCCTGCTGCATTCTTGGCTATCCAAGAGCATTGCTTTGGAAATGTTCAATGCACCCCTGGAAAAACATGTCAATAGCGAGCCACTTTAATCATTGTATTTTTGTGTAAAGCAGTGTATCTGATATAATGTGACAGCCCAACAAAGACTGACCAACAGAGTCAGCAGACAGGGGAATAAGTGTGAAAAAAAACTAAGTTAATGTGGCATTTGAAATCAGGAAGATTAATTGTGACAAGAGAAATGTGTGTATATAATGATCTGAAAAGAAAAAGCAGCAATAGCTTGGATCCTGCAGTTCAATGGATTTTATTTATAATTTATCTTTAATTTGTTTACCACTTCATGTCAGTGAAAAAAATCTGGGCATGAGGCTGATCTTCAATTGCAGGACAACAGTTTTTCCAACCTTCAATCCACATCATGAACTTAATGGGACACTTCAGTCTCAACTTTTGTATTGTAATTTATAGATATTTAACTACAAAAATTAATTTAGGAAAAATATAAAATAATGCATCTGAAAAATCCACTTTTACAAAAGATGTGTCTTTAGTTTCTCGGAATCAGGGAATGGCTACGAATCTCAAATTAACTTCTGCTTTCTAAAGAAATCCTCTAGGATTTCAAATTGATCATATGCACGCAAGAATACAAAATGCCTATTGAAATAATTAGGCACAATGTACCTGTGATAATTCATGGATTTATTCAAATGAATGCAAATCTGGGGTTCCACACTCTTTGCTAATACCTGCTGTTCAAATTGGGCAAAATTACCACGGGTTCCGTGCTGGGATGGGGGATTATTCCAAGGTGCTTGGAAAAAAAGTTAGATATAGACAGGAGTTATGGTACAATGAGACTTTAGGCATCTTAACCAGTACACCAAACAAAATCAAAAGCAAAATGTTTTACCAATAAAATGCTAGGTTCATTGCAGCAAGGTTGTTAATCTTTCTTTAGTGGTAAAGAAGTAGTAGAGTATGTTGTACAGTCATAGAGCTCTTGCATATCAAATGTTAGCACATGGTTTTATAATGTTTATCCCAGTTATGGGGTGCCTCATCCTTTCTTATATCACTATTTCACTATATGTGATTGTTTTTGTCTCAAATTCATAAAGCTTCTTTTAGGAAAGTAAGACTTATGAAAACACAAAACATTTTGAATTCATGCCACTTACTGATGTACTCTTTGTGCCATCCTCAAATGTGCTATTGTCATTTTTGGACTCCACTTTCCTTCTTTTGACATCATTGATATTGCTGCAATTTAAATCATTTTGCTCCATGACATCATTGACATCTCCATCACTTTCTAAATCAGACTCTTCGACCAAATCCTCTTCAAGCTCTTTTCTCTTTTTAGTTGTTCCATCCATTTCCAAAGTTGCTTTACCCATTATGGTGCTAACTGTAGGCGGAGTCTTTGAAATTCCAACTTTCTCTCCATGTGACATAACTGGCTCAGTTTCCAGATCTAAGTCATCATCCGGAGATATAAGCCTACCCTTGTCTTTCATTGATTGTGATACAATGGGTGCCAGTTGTTCAGAAGAAGGCAGGATGTTTTCCACTCTTGCTACCTTGGTGGAAGACATATCTCTTTCATCGTCCTCTCGATCTCTTGAATGTGCAAGAAGAAAAAAAAAAAAAAAAAAAGATTGGAATAAAAACAGAAAGTAATCATTCACTAATTAGATAACTGTAGCTTGTTAGAGAATGAAAATCTATTTTCAGAACTTACTACAATTTCCTCCACGTTTTGTAAATACATAGAATACAGAACAGAATCACACTAATTGTAAACTCACTCTACCCCACATGACAACATATAATGCAAAACTGCCAAAACCGCTGTTGCTTGCATCATACTGATACAGATCTGAGGTTTTATAATGTCACAACAGTGAAAATAGAAACCAAAGCGAACTTAAAATTTAACAAGAAGAAACAACCTGTTTCAAAGCGAAGATGGTTTACTATCTGGTGGAAGATTTTCTGCTGGTAATAAAATACTAGTCTGTTGAGTCTATAAATGGGGTTATGACAAAAATCGAAGATTTCTACACATACACAAACAAACGAACTAAAAATGCCCCTTTTTATTTGGAAATGAAGCAAGGGGGAGGGGGGGGAAAGAGAGGAACCAGCTTGGTTGCAGCTTACCTGTAGCTATTTACTATCGGGTGTAGGAAAGCCTGTTAAGGTGCTAAAAGCTCCAAAGCAGTTGGTAGTTGTGGCAAAAAGCACAGCACAGTCGATGTGAGCTGTGCTTCGACTAGTTCTAAAGTCCTGTGGGACCCCCAATTCAGTCATGAATGACATCGCATCCACTGCACTGTTTAGCTGTGAGGCAGCTATGGAACTCTAAAATCCAGTTCCCAATCACTGCTTCGGGTCACTGGACAATAAATTGGAAAGAGAAGTGGCATGGTTGGGGAGAAGATGTGTTTGTGGGGGAATGAGAACACGTGGAAAAGGAAAGAATGGATCATGGGGAGAAGTGACATGTGATGGGAGATGGTTGGATTAAAAAAAAATATATTTTTAATTTAAATTGAATTTCTTTTAATAAATTGCATTTCCAGTAAACATCTAAAGGTTTCTATCTGCATAAGATACATTATAGTCTAAAGGTTATTCAGTATGGAATATGTGTTAGTTATGTAGCATTAGGTTGCATATTCATGCAATACTTACATTTTTAGTATATTAAAAGATCACTATAGGGCCAGGAACACAAACATGTATTCCTAACCCTATAGTGCTAAAACCACCATCAATGCACTTTCTTCCCTCAAAATTAAATGTATTAAAATATACAATGTTCAGAAAAAGACCTTAATTCCATAGTTATTTGGCAAATATATGTACACACAATGAACAACTGTAATTCAAGTTGTAAGCATGTGCATTCTTATTCTTAAGGATGATAAAATAAGTAAAAAAAAATAAAATTTTCAACATAGACTGGTTACCCAATTAATGTCTGGGGTTGGGGGAGGGGTGCGGACAAGTTTAATTTATAAATGTGACAACTTCTACATAATCTTGTTTTTTTAAAAATGCTTTAGATGTGTGGAGTGTCAATTTAAGCAATTAAACTGGAGATAGTCTGCAACTATTTTACTATTATCCATATATTTCTTATGGTATATAACTGTTAAACTAATCTGAAAAGCTATTATTCTAAATCTTAACTCTACATCTGGTTAAAAATATTAAAGCTTATAACAACCAGCAAGAATGTGTCTAAATCTAAATATCATGATTCAAACGAACTAGTACGGACTACAGTTTTAAATTGCGACAAGTCAAATCACCCTGAAAGGGAGGAATTTGCATGATGATAACGGGAGAAGAGATCTGAGAAGATTCAGTGGATAAGGAATGGAACGTGACTTGGAGAAGAGAAGTGCTACTAATGATACGAGGATAAGAGTTTGAAAGGGACACACATACACCCTCCCCCCACCCCTTTTCCAAAAAAACAATGCAGTGGTGCTGGTGCTGGTCAACAAAGAAAGGTTTGACAGAAAAGGAGGAGACAAGACCCAAAGGCTAATGGCACTATATTCAATATAATGATTTTTTTTCTTTTTTTATATAAACATAGCAGTTTCAGAGAAACTTCTATGCTTACACCGAGGGTTAATCCAGCCTCTAAAAGCTGTCTCAAAAATCACAGTGAGAAGACGCCAGCGTCCATAGGAAAGCATTATGAATGCATGCACATTCAGCCGATGACGTCGCTAGGAAGGAGAAGAGGAGGAAAGCTCCCCGCCCGGCGCTGGAGAAAGGTAAGATTTTAACCCCTTCCTCTCCCCAGTCCTTCCTTTCAGTCCGGCCGGGAACAGGTAACTGAATCTCGGACTGACAAGACGAAGAGGAGCTCGGCCACCCACTCTGCACAGTGAAGGAGAGGTGAGAGGAATTTAGGGAGTAAAAAGAATGGAGGGGGGGGGGATTAAAAAGAATGGAGGGGGGGATTAAAAAGAATGGAGGGGGGGATTCAAAAGAATGGGGATTAAAAAGAATGGAGGGGGAGTAAAAAGAATGGAGGGGGGGGGGGTGTAAAAAGAATGGAGGGGGGAGTAAAAAGAATATATCGCAATTAGCCACTGTGTGCTAGACCAGCAGGCATGGATTATATGCCCAAACAGCCTGGCACATACCTGGGCTTTAAATGCTATTTCAGATTATCATTATTTAATGTCTTGCGGTGTAGCTCTGTCTGCTCACTGTACATCATGGCTAATTTTTATTTGGTGTGCATTGGAAGAGGGGTAGTCTTATACAGCGAGTATATCCCAAACTCTATATTTTAACTGGAAAAGTTGGGGGTCGTCTTATACGCCGGAAAATACGGTAGTAATTATAGAGATGTGGTTACAATAGATTAAAATAAAGAAGAAAATAAAAGTAAAAAAATAAATAAAAGAGAAACGAAAAGGTCTCCATATCTTTTCACATATGCGAGGGTGCCCAAAATGAGATTGGGACTGCAGGCAGGGACGGATGTCACCACATATTGGCAGCAGGGCATGCAGTGCTCACTGAGGTCACTATATAGAAGTTGCTAGAAAAGCTGTAGAGCTCCCTAAATAAAAAAAAAAAAAATAAAAAAAAGAGGATCCACAAAATGGCTGTGGATCTGAGGAGGAAGATACAGGATCTGGGAGAAAGAACCATGCATGTGGAGCGTAAAATGGAGGAGCTGGTGTTGGCCCCAATTATATGACTCGTGTACAAGGCCCTGGAAACTAGGGTGGCGGCATAGGAGTACAAATTTTCCGACTAGGATGAACAATATTCAAGTGCGCGGGATTGCAGAATTGGTGGCTAACACCACCCTTTATGATTTTAGATCCTCACTCTTCCATGTGCTGCAGCCTACACTGGAAAAGAGGGGCTTGTTACTAGATAGGGCACATAGACTGCCTCGACATTTATCCAGCTTCCTCCCTAGGGATGTTACTGTACACACATATACATATATATATATATATATATATATATATATATATATATCTCACAAGAAAGGAATTGTTAATGAAGGCCACACAAGCCTTATCGAACATGCCAGCACCCTATACTGGCAACCTATTTACAGATTTGTCTCTGGCCACTCTGGCTAAGCGAAGGGAATTTGGCAAAGTTACACAAGTCCTTCACGCTAACAGCCCCAACCAATTTTCTCACTAAACTTCTTAGTCAACGCAATGGCATCTTCAAAATCACTATGACAGTGGAGGAGGGTTCTCAACTTCTCGCACAATGGGACATTCCGGTCCCAAAAGGCATCCGACAACGTTGCTCCCTGCACACTTAATACACCAAGGATCAGGTGTGAATGGCAGCAAGTAAGATGAGCAACTTGAGTGCAGAATGGTTTTTGTGGAGTTCTGTTAATATAAAGGTTCACCTCAACACCGTAATACCGCGACACAGAGGTTAAACGTATCAGAACATGGTCATGGCTTCAGGACATAAGGTTGTGTTTCTCTTTATTCACATGGTTCATGCATCAGGTTTGGTGCTTTGGTATATTTGCCTAGGTGCTTAGTCAAGTGATAGATGCCTGACTACACTGGGACGGCTACTGGTCTCCACCTTACGGGAGCTGTACCATAATGAAAGAAAAATATTTAATTTCAGTTTATTTGTGTGAGCTAGTTTGAGCAGGGTCCTCATCAACCTATCGTTCCTGTAACATTTTGTAATGGTCTCTTCTATTGTTACGTTTCCCCTGTGATAATATTGCAAAGCACTGCGGAATAAGCTGGAGCTACATAAATGCCAATAATAATTGATGTAAATAGTTGCCTTATTTTCTTTATATGTATTTCATGTGCTACAACCATTCCCTCTTGGCATACATGGCAAACTTGAACATTCTCTAGTAAGCTCCTGCATTTAACAGTGATATAGAGAGCGAGCACAGTGCGCAATATAGACCAGCCTGCTGACGGCACCCGTTAAGGAAAGGAAAATGGTGCACTGAAACATTTTTTTACTAATGTGTATAGTTACCTTATTTTAGTTTTTAAGACCTTCCTGGCATTACTCTGAACTAATGTATAGTGAAATACTGGGAAGCCCAAGGGGCACAAACAACACATCACAACCATTGGACAAAATGCCGGTTGTATAGGTAAAATCCTTGTTGTTTCGACGATGCAGGAGTATCTTGACTTCGCAGGCATTGGTGCTGACTTACTTGCACCAGAAGAACAAAGGTAAGTATACACCTCTATTCTCTTGTATATACCTGCGCTTTTATTTCCTTGTATTGTAAAACCAATAAAACACATTTAAAAAACAAAAAAAAGCCATGCTATGACGTTAAATGACCAGAGATGAAAATTTTGTTGTTGCATTTTTTTATGTTGAAAAGCAGAAGCCATGTGCCAATTGCAAGTGAAAAGCAATCTTTCCATTTAACATTGCCTCAATAATTACTGTGTCCGCAGCTTGTGAAACAGTACTTCCTGGTCACATGACCACACGTAACAAACCAAAAAGAGGGTTTAGAATATAATCTGGTGCATGTTTACATAAAACACCTTTAACAAAAGGGCTAAATACAAAAGATTCAAGTTGAAAACAACAACTGATTGTCATTCAGTAATCCAGCTGATACACATGACATCCACACACGCACACTCTGTCTACATCAAAACAGCTCATAAACACTAAAAGCCAAACACTAATCTTATCAATAATGCAAAACAAATATAAGAAATGAAAAGCCCATAAACGGAATATGGAATCTAAGCCACAGTCTTTAAAGGGACAGTAATGTAAAAAATAGGCGTTAATTTTAGACATATCACATTGTAGTCTATTTAAAGTATTTACCAGTAGTGGGATTTCCCTAAAGTATATTTTGAATGGAAAATGCAATAGGTTACATATTATTTATGCATATTTAAAGCAACACTACAGCATTAGGAGTACAAACACTTACCTTTCTTCTCTAGCTGTGCTGATCACGCAGTAACTGCTTTGTCCCCCTGGTTGAAATCCTGATTTCAGCCAATTCAATTCCTACCTATAGTGAAGCATTGTGAGGCTAGTGAGCATCTGTGCCAAATCTTGCACTGTGCCAAATCTTGCGCTGTGCCAAATCTTGCGCTGTGCCAAATCTTGCGCTGTGCCAATCAAATGCTGTTTTAGGAGTAGCATTTGATTGACAACAGAGTTTGACTTGGCGCTCAGAGGGTAATTGCCTTTAGTGGCTGCCACTAGAGGTGTGTTTAACCCTGCAATGGAAACACTGCAATTTCTACAAAGCTGCAATGTTTTAAATTTCATGGTTAAATCTAAAAGCCACCTGCACCCAGAGCACTTCATTGAGAAGTCACTTCATAACAGCTACATGTTTACTGAAAGCATGTCTATAGGAGAAGCTCTATGAACAATAACCACTACAGCTCAGGCCAAGCAAATATTCAGTTGATGCTGTCACGCCAAGGGTGCATAATTCAATGTTGCACTATAGAATATTGCCATTTAATGTAATTTATGTAGTGCATATATGAATGGGCCAAGGTCAGATGACAGAAGGGGTATAGGATAGGAATGTGAACGGGGTCAGATTATTTACCATGTGGATTGATCCTGTGATTAATCAAAGGCTCTGCAAGGTGTGAGAAGTCACACATAAGTGGCCTGGAAGTCTGGTTTAAATATACTAACTCTCTAGTTTAATATATGTCTAGTTTCCCTCTTTGATAGGGGGTCCTTTTTTATGTTAATGCCCATTAGCCTTGTGTTCCAGTATCATATCCAAAAGAAACATTAATACTTACCCACAGATTAATAATTAAGCCTATTATATTTAGAATGAGAATAATTTTCTTCTAATCAAGCCCAAACATGATTTGCATAAGTTAACTTGTGATGCCTGCTATATTGGGTCACGAGTAAGGAGTGTGACATATCTATGGAATGGAAAAATGTTAAATTCATAGATGCACATTATTATTTCAGTGGCAAGTACATAAGAGGAGATAGAACCAAATGTTTCCATTTGGACTGATGGTGGTCTGGAACACAAGGGGGTGGTCACTTATAGTTACTATAGGTACGCCTTATCTCCACCTCTGGGAGGACTTCTGTTATTTTATCCCTTTTGTTTTTATCTGTTGTTGGTGTAATTAATTTGATTGTCATCTATATTTTTGTATGCACTGTGACTTTTTTGCTCATAATAAATATTCCTTTATTAAGTTCTGCCTTTGTCTGGTAAAGAATCATGTTACCTGAAGAGATTAATTAGTGTTTTGCAATTGCTTAAATAAGTTGTATTTGGTGCATTTTTATTATTAAGTTACCTGGAGGACCATGGCACCCCATTTATAAATGGTCTTGGTGGTGGCAGCGTTAAAATATTAATATTTATATTATTATGCTTAAGTGTGAGTGGTGTTAAGGGGGATTTTATCATTATTTACGGTCTAGTGCAGACCACCACAACTATGTCACGCACACACTTGAAGTAGGGTGCGTCCGTGACAGATGCCATCCCACGATTTTTTTTGTCAAACCATTTAGGTGCTTTCTCCAGCAGACAGAGACCATCCCTTTCTTTGATGCATTGATAATACAGAATTTACCCTTTTACACTATTAATATGAAATCCAACCTGGACAGCAGTCATAGGTGTAAAGGTCTACGCTAAACCACCTCTTTCAGCCCAACCACAGGCTCTACATTACAAACATTGAAAGTCCCTATAGTACTTGCACCCTAACCACTGTAATCATATGTAGTGGGTATGGTGCTTGGAGTGTCGCTATAACCAGGAACGTTAACGTTACTATGGAAACAGACCGAATTTGAACAGGCACATGTGAGTGTTGCTTCATGTTTTGTTTTATAAGAATTTTTTCTTCTCATTAAAAATGAGCGCGAGCAGCACATGACCAATTCTTACACACAAACTGATAGAATGTCAGTGATTGGATAAACAAGTATTTTTAATCTGAATTGTTATTCAGGTGTGTCTTTAAAGGACTACTCCATACCACAAATGCATTTTAGCTTGCTAAAATTGCTATATGGGTGAGGAGAATCTTAGTTTTAACACCAGTTTATACAAGTGTTGATTTCTATAAAAAATTATCACATTTATAAATTAATTAGGAAACACTGCTTTGGGTGTCAAACAGGCAGGGACGGTTCCTTCCTATTTCCATTAGCTCCTCTGAGCTAACGGAAGTGGTAGACAAGCTCTACTTGAGAATGCCTTCCTCCCCTCTCTCACAGACCTCAGGCCAGCTCCTCAGCTGCACAGAACTCAGACCAGACGTGCGCAAGCGCCGGCGTTCACCAATTCAGAGGCTTACTAGTTATTTCCCCAATGAAGAGACTGAAAGAACTGCAGTCTTTGCAAGCTCTTTAAATATATACCCCCAATTAATACATGCTTGAAAAATTAATGTATGTATTCAATGAGGTATACCTACTAAACATGTGGAAAATGGAGTGTTCCATTAACTCTGGATCCCATGATATGTATAGCACACTGAAAAACATTACACAGCTTTTGTACAACACAGGCAAGTTTAAGATTTTCTTAAAGCATACCTCTTCTTGGATAATGGTTTGAAATAATTCTTTATTTGACTGGCATGTTGACTTTTTTGTGATATCCTCTCCTTAAATTTGGGGAATTCTGGTAATTGGCTTTTTTCTGACAGAATTGTATTCTCTTGAATCAAAGCTCCCTTGACATCACTGCTATTATACGGGCAATCTTCAGAATATCCCTTTGAGTGGTTACCTTTGCGATTCCTTTTAGGTGTTTCTTTAACGACTTGAACTCCACTTACATCCATCCTAAAATAAAATAAAGATTTTTAATAATGTCCCACTACTTTCAGAGATCTACATGATGGGTAAAAACCAAAACAATTTAAAGGATCACTACAGGGTCAGGGACACAAACATGTATTTCTGACCCTATAGTGAAAACCCCCCATTTAGGTGACTTGCCCCCCCCCCTCCCTCCCCCCCTCATTGCCCCCTCAGAATGGGTAAAAACTCACCCTAATTCCAGCTCTCAATGGTCCGCCGGCACTGGCCTCACCCTCTTGGTGACATCACAATTGCAGATTTTTAGCGATTAGCTAAAATCGGCAAGGGGCGGGGCCAAACACTGTTTTGGCCAATCAGCACCTCATCATAGAGATGCATTGAATCAATGCATCTCTATGAGGAAAACTCAGCGTCTCCATGCAGAGTGTGGGGACGCTAAACGGTATGGCTGCTTAGATCTTGCGACCACCAACGACAACTATCATACATACCAAAAATTAAAAACCAATCGGGCGAATTGGTACACCCCAGAGCAGACATAGCGGACACCTTCGGCGCCTTCTACCAAACACTCTACAATCTACAATCCTCAGACAAACCCCCAAGACAAAATTGGCTATTTAACAGACAAATTCGACAAGATCATAAGATCATAACCCCATTGATAGCTAGATCACTAGAAGAACCATTCACAGATGATGAAATCACGTCTGCCATACATTCCATACCATTAGACAAAAGTACGGATTTGCCAATACATACTATAGAACATTCCTCAATGAGGTGAGACCACTTTTCTTAAGAGCCATCAACTCGATTTCCCCTACAGTACCCATTACACACACCAGCCTAGAGGCCATGATTACACCGATCCCGAAACCAGGGAAGGACCAGTTATCCTGTGGCAGTTTACAGCCGATCTCCCTCTTTTAGTCCACTCTGTTCAAGCTGACTTTGTACCAACAAGGGAAGCCAAGGATAACATCACCAAAATTATCAATTTAATTCACTATACAAATCGCCTCAAAATCCCATCACTTTTACTATCCATAGATGCCAAAGAGGCATTTGACATTGTGAAATGGTCTTTTCTCACATCGACGTTGCAGATACTGGACTATGGGAAGCAGTGGTTGACGTGGATCTCAGCGGTCTACTCAATGCCCTCCGTGAGACTGAAGGTAAATGGAGAGCTATCGCAGCTTTTCAGGATATGCAACGGTACCCGCCAGAGTGGCCTCCTGTCTTCCCTACTTTTTATTCTGATGTTGGTCTTGTAAAGACTCAGACTTTGCGGATGACCTCCTCTTCACCCTGCTAGAATCGATAAGATCCCTACCCCCGTTAATGAACGAATTATCACTCTACAGCGAGATGTCCAACTTTAAAATTAATCTAGATAAAAGCGAAATACTTAACCTCAATGTCCCTAATAGTATAGTTAACAGACACAAACGTGAATTTCAGTTTATATGGGCAGACCAACATATCACATATCTGGGAGTCAAGATTACACCAAAGCCCTGAGATCTCTATGCTACTAACATTACGCCCTTACTAAAAGAAATATCAGATGACCTATTGAAATGGAAGAAACCCCACTTCAGATGGCTAGGGAGGGTTAATATCATCACGATGAGCATCCTGCCTACAATATTATACCTTCAAAACGCAGTAACAATCCATATTCCCACCTCCTTTTTCCGCCAAATTAAATCTTTTTGTTCAATTTGTCTGGGCCAAGGGGAAGCTGAGAATTGCATACGACATCCTTACAAGACCAAGAGACAGAGACGGTACAGGTCTGCCACATATTGAGCTGTATCACTCCGCAGTCCACTTAGGATAGATACACTTATCCAAACAATGGATAATGGTAGAGTAATCGTTCACAGATATCCCACTACAAGCTCTGCCCTGGTTAGTTACCCAAACAAAGATACCACAAATGTCCAATCATCCTATCATCAACCCTACCATTAAGATCTGGAAAAAACTGGCGCGCTTCACTGACCTCTCGCCCTCTCTTTCCGATAAAGACCCTGCCAGAATAAAAGGACTGACTATGCTCCCAACGGCACACAGGACAATAAACACATACACCTCACTGAACCATCTTATACATTTTAACAGTCTGAAATCCATTACTGAGTTGACAAAGAACACCGCACCGAATACCTTACAACTGTTTCAATATTCACGCTTGAAACACTTTATTCAATCATTACATATACCGGAGACAGGACTTAGAGAAGAGATGGAATTTGAAGAACTGTGTTCAATAGGTAACCCAGTCCCCAAATCATTGTCCAAATGCTACAACTACTAATAACAATATCCTAGGCCGCCGGCACATACCTGTCCCTGGAATTACCATATCTTACCCCAGCTGTGAGACGGTGATTGGTATAGAATATTCCACAGAGGGGAATTTGCCCACGTTAGTGGGCAGCTATAAAATGCAAATTATAAACGGTTAGCGAGATGGTATATCACCCCATCGGATATCCAGATATTCTCCCCGTCCTGTACGGGTGTATGCGGACGGTGTGGGAGGGACGCTAGAACACTTCAACACATCTGGTGGTCTTGCGACCCTATTGTTAAATATTGGGAAGAGGTCGGTACCCTGATTAAGGAAGCTACGGGACTCCAGATAACACGTGATATCCCCACTGTCCTCTTTCACAACATAAAGATTCCCCACTACAAATACAAAGCATTGGTGACTTATTTCATACTGACAGCAGCCAGGATGATAAGTCACCAGCCTATAGGGATCAACCACAGCTCCTACCATCCAAGCCCTAATAAATAAATAAAATAGAATATTTACATACACTCGAGGAAATAAGGTGGTCTACCTTAGGATAAGCATTTAAATACTAGCCATTTGGCAACCCTGGATCCTAAATATGAGGGGTAAATCTTGCCACCACACTATCGCCTAAACTAAGGCGCAAATTCCTGCAAGGCTGACTAGAGACCAACAGATGGAGCTATAAGACCTACTGACATGTCAACACTTTAACTACTCCAATGGAATTTGTAGAGAGGCAAAGCAGGTCTGATTAAAAATAGAACAAATGGCATGTTCTACTACAAGACACTTGAGCTACGCGGGACGTAACCACACATATGATCCCGGTCAGATGTAGAACTAAATTTCTGTCTTTCACAATGTTGTGCTTATACCTTTTTGCAACTAACTATCACGCTCATTAGCAGCTATGGGTTATATGTAAACTATAGAACTAGCAAGCTCATTAGCAGCTATGGGTTATATGTAAACTATAGAATGACCCTGTACACTCTGTAAACCCAATCTCTGCATTTTTTTCTACTGTCAACAACTCACATGTAATGTAAGAATTGCTTGCATCATTACTGTATCTTTCTGTACAACTCTCCGATGAAACAAATATGTATAATAATAATAATAAAAAAAACAACTTTCAAAATCTCTCACCAAGATCCACATTAATAGATCTGCTGAAAACCATTACATTATTCCTTTCAAGGAGTCTGCAAAGTACTATGCACATTTTATATAATGTGGACAACGTGAATTAGTTTCAAAAACATTACCAGTCCTAAAGTTAAGGGAAAAAAGTTATAAAGAAATTCATTTGGTGAAGTGTTGGTGAGGTTGCTAGGCCTCAGTTGCTGCCCTTCCCACCTATTATTTAAAAAAAAAAAAAAAAAATGCCTTTTCATTAGGCGATTTCCGCACTGCACTTGCAGAACTTCTCAATGCCTTCCACTTGGTGCTGTTGTTCAAAGAAATTAGGAAGTATGCCCTACCAGCTACAATCGATACACTTCTCTTGAAATCATCAGTTGTAAAGTGAGAAAGAAGGGACACTCTGTTGAATGGACACTCTTTAAGTACTTCAGCTTGTTTAGGTACTTCAGGGATTAACAGAGCGTTCCCACTTTGTCACTTCATAAAAGTGATACAAAATATATATCAATACACCACACAAAAACGGATGTTACTCACAAAGTATTTGCTTGATCTTGCGGTTCTGTATTTGCAACATAGGCAGTGGTGTTTAGAGTGGGTGCAGGTAGCACAGTCTCATCAACAGCCATACTTTGAGAAATAATGCTCGTCTTGGGAATATCTGCAAAGTTAAACAAAAACTTTAAAGCATCTTTTGATATGTCAGAATAGTAAGTAATTAGTCAAGTCAACTACTGATGTGCTCTGCTTAAAGGGACACTCTAATCACCCAAATCATTACATCCTAATGGCATTTCTGAGATGCTGCAATGCTTAAAATTTGGCCCAAAACACAACTTCACTAAAAGCTCTTCCCCCTGAAGTTCTACAACTGTCGAAGGACTTCACATTTGCTGTAGCATGCAAAGCACAAGGACACTGAAGACAGCTAATGCCACTAGACTGGCAGAATTGCCAAATGCCCTAAATATTTCTTTAAGAGGGTAAACATTTGATTGGACAAAAGAACTGATAACTTCAGTGGAGGAGGATAGGCTGAAGGTCTGTAGTACAAAATATATATATGTCAACGTTTCAGTTCACACAGGAACTTTCATCAGGACAGTATGATACTTTGTTCTAATGAAAGTTCCTGCGTGAGCTGAAACGTTGACTATTGGGAATCTTCAATAAAGAACTTCTACTTTTCTAAAGACTTTGAGTGCTGGCTATCTTCTACACCCTTGTTTTATTTATATACCGCTAGGTTTAGTATGTTGCAATCAATTAAATAAAAAGGTATGAAATGTAATAGTCCTAGCGCTGGCTGGTAAAGATCCAAGTGCCTTCGAGGGCACCCCTTATAAAATGCCTATACTGTCTCTATAACCCCCCATTAGAAGCTAACGAGACTAAGAAAAAATGGATGCCTAGATAAAAGCGATCTCGTTTTCTAGCTGATAATGGGGGGTTATAGAGACAGTATAGGCATTTTATAGGGGGTGCCCTCGAAGGCACTTAGATCTTTACCTACCAGCCAGCGCTAGGACTATTACATTTCATACCTTTTATTTAATTGATTGCAACATACTAACCCTAGCGGTCTTTCTGTTTCTTATACCTCCTGTGCTCTAGGTACTTTATCTACACTGATAAATATTGTATTATTATCTTCCTAACCACACAGGGGTGTTGTTTAGGATATCTGGAGCACAAGAGACATCTCTTTTAAATCCAGTAGACTCTTTACTGCAGGAGAGCCTGGAACTCTGTGCTCCCTTCTACCATTCTTGCTATACAGGTTTGCAGCAAGTGATATACTCTGATTTACTAAGTATCTTCTTTCTCACTGATACTCTCTTGGCTACTTTTGCTATTGGCGGGTTCAGTGTTTAGACTTAGCTAGATCACAGGACTTAGATTTAGCCTTGTGCTTTCTGTTTTTATTTAATCTATTTTCATATTTCTACTTTTTAGAAATCTATTAAAAGTTATATTTTAACATCTAACTTTCTAACTTATGATAATATTGATTATGTTATTGAGACACTTATTGGTAGTGGTTTTCTTTTCTCTTTTCCATTCATGTCAGTTACCTAAAAAATATCAAGACCAAATAGAATAGATCAATGATATATGCTTTGACGGTTTCTCTTATTTATTTAAAAAAAAAAAAACGCTCTATGAAAGTTTTTGGTGGGTGTGACTGATCGAATAATGTATTATGGGGCATTATTCTATCTTACATGATAAAAGATTGGAGAAACCCTTTAATAAACTTACGATTAATTTGTCAAACAAACTTATCTCTTAATTTTTTTAAAATTATATTCTACATTTTGGAACACATGTATTACATATATTTTTACACACATCAGAAAACAGTATTGACATACCAGTCAGATTTCCAATTGCTGAGCATCTTTGAGGATTACAATATATTTCTGTTGACATATAGAGAACCGCTAAACCTATTTCTGCCTCTGGGATTGCTCTTAGATCTTTACTGTTAAAGGAAGAGAGATGTTTATTATTTGTTTCATAAAATTAAAAGAACACAATATACATGCTCAGTGCAATATTACAGAACAAAGTCTCAAGCTAGTCTTGTGATCAGTAAGCACGCTAGCTAGAAATGACAACCACTTCAGTTGTAGATATGGAAATGTAGACCACAACATCTGAGGAGTTTGCTTAATCCAGAAGTATACAAGTAAGATAAAACCTATAGGCACCCAGACATCTTCATCGCATTGAAGTGGTCTAGGTGCCGTGTCCATGATACCTTAACCCTGCAATGTAATATGTTGCAGTTTAAGAGAAACACTGTTTTAATTTACATTGCAGGTTTAAGACTGCCTCTAGTGCTGCTAGAGGTGCTTACTGAAGGTTCACGGGGTTTGAATCTGCAAAAAGACGCTGGATGTCCTCTCACTTTGCATGAGGACATCCATTGTCTAGAAAATCCTGATTGATTTAATGCGGTCTTATGGGGAGGCATAATGATTGTGCAGCGCTCATTGCACATGCTCATTAAGTTCCAGAATCGCCATGATTTAGGAGGAAGAGCCCGACCCAGCGCTGAGCAACATTGGCGCAAGAATCAGGTAGAAAAAGGATTAAACCTTTATTTACTGCCGGGGGGTTACGTAAAAACTGACATGTTTGTGTTTACGTAATTGCTCCTTTAATATAAATCAGGACTCTACAGTGAAACAAGTAGGCTAGTAAATCTTTTTTAAAAAAGTTATAAAAAGTAGCCAGGCGTAAACACCTGCTACAATTATATTAAACAGAAAACTATTCATTATATGTTGTAGCTTAAAAGCAGTCAGCAGTGAATAATGTAACCAGAGTAAATTAACTGGTATGTAAACAAGTGCCATGTTTAACCTTTGGAGCACATTGAGAATAGAGTTGATCCAGGTTGGTGAAGACTCAGAGAGTTGTGAGTCTGCTACTCCCACGTCAATCACACAAGTTGAAGGATTTTCCAATATTGATGGCTCATTAAAATCTCCCTTCAACAGTTTTGCTTCTCCACTCCCAAAAGTAATTGCTGGGCTAAGTTTTCTGTACTGCAAAATGAAGCATAGCATTTAGAAGGTTATAAAGCAATCAGAGTAATTTAAACAGCTTAACTATCTAAAGGTACAGCTCTCTCCAGTTTTTTGACAATACAGCGTCTCAAGCAGATAGGTTCAGGAATCACTATCATAGTTATTTAAAATACCCACATTCTTCCCAAAACAGTATAGTTAGATGATGTTACATTGTATCTCATGTAAATTGACAACAGGGCAAGTGGTTAGAGTTAGGACCCACCTAAGAGGTCTGCCTTGACGTGGCAGGTGAGCATACCCTCTCATGTCCATTGGAGGTAACTAAAACCCTCCATTTGTTTAAAAATACATAGGGATTTAGGAGCACAGGTAATTTTTTTTTTCTCTTTGGTTTTACTATATGTATTTTGGCTGATGTGTACTATAGTCATTGCTGCTGCCCAGGAGTGATGGGAGTTTGAGCGCAGAACTTGTTTCTTTGTATTTAAATTGACAACATGGGTGAAGATATGCCTAAAAAGAACCACAGATTAAGATAATGTGGTTACTATAAGAACCACTGAATCAGAAAACAGTAGGGATCACTAGAGGACAAAAACAAATAAAGTCATACCTTAAGTAAAACAAATGAGGAATACAATACACTTCTTACAAAGTTTTTCACGCCGTATGATGAATGTTAATAATGAGAATTGGAGCAAACATTTCCCATGTATCATTTCCAATCTCAATTTATAAAGCACCAACATATTTCATAGTGCTGTACAATCAGGGAAAATAGACAGTACAGTATAAACCAGGGGTAGTTAACCTTTTAATACCTACCACCCACTTTTGTTTCTTTTGTTGATGGTAACATTTCCTTACCGCCCTCCAGTGCCACAGTAACTAATTTTAGAGCGCAAGTACAATTTATTTTTTTTAGAAAGGAGGTTTAAACAAAAAAACAACAACACATGTACTTAAATTTATATATTGTTTTCCCTTTTTCTATTCTACTTTTTTCATTGTGTGCCTGTGAGGTGCTGTGTGTGTTCGAGTGTATGTGTGAGAGGGGCAGTAGGTGTGAGGGGTCCAGTGTGTGTATGATGGGTTGCAGTGTGTGCGTGTGAGGGTGGCAGTGTTTCTGAGAGGTGCTATGTGTGTGAAGGGTGGAGTGTCTGAAGGGTGGAGTGTGTGTGCGCGTAGGGTGGCGTGTGAGGGGTGGAGTGTGTGCGTGTGAGGGGTGGAGTGTGCGTGTGAGGGGTGGAGTGTGAGTGTGCGTGTGAGGGGTGGAGAGTGTGTGAGGGGTGGAGAGTGTGTGTGTGTGTGAGGGGTGGAGTGTGTGTGTGTGTGAGGGGTGGAGTGTGTGTGTGTGAGGGTGGAGTGTGTGTGTGAGGTGTGAGGTGTGTGTGTGTGTGTGTGTGTGAGGGGTGGGAGTGTGTGTGTGTGTGTGTGTGTGTGTGTGAGGGGTGAGGTGTGTGTGTGTGTGTGAGGGGTGGAGAGTGTGAGGGGTGGAGAGTGTGTGTGTGAGGGGTGGAGAATGTGTGTGAGGGGTGTGTGTGAGGGGTGGAGAGTGTGTGTGTGAGGGGCGGAGAGTGTGTGTGTGAGGTGGAGGTGTGTGGGGGGGCGGAGAGTGTGTGAGGGGCGGAGAGTGTGTGAGGGGCGGAGAGTGTGTGAGGGGCGGAGAGTGTGTGAGGGGCGGAGAGTGTGTGAGGGGCGGAGAGTGTGTGAGGGGGAGGCAATGAGGGTGAGGGGGAGGCAATGAGGGTGAGGGGGAGGCAATGAGTGTGAGGGGGAGGCAATGAGTGTGAGGGGGAGGCAATGAGTGTGAGGGGGAGGCAATGAGTGTGAGGGGGAGGCAATGAGTGTTTGTGTGTGGTGTAGTAGTGTGTGTGAGGGGCAGGCTGTGAGTAAGGGGGGAGGTGTGTGTGTGTTAGGGGTGTAGTGAGTGTTTTTGTGTGACGAGTGCGTAGGGTCTATGCTGTGTGTAGATGGGTGAGATGTGAAAATCTATCTTAAAGCCTCCCCTTCCACCAGGGAGGAGGGACATAATGCTACAAGCCCTGGTGGTCCAGTAGTGGCATGATCATTTTAGCCTGCAGCTTCCCTAGCTGCAGGTTGACTGCGAGCACAGCACTGTACCGGAGTGTTGTTATGGGGAGGGATATCTTTGATCTGGTTCAGAATGAGCTGGCAGGGGAGATGAAAGATCTCCCCTGCCAGCCTTGGTCCAGGGCCATCGAGGCCCACCAGGCGTTTTCTGCAGAACCCACCACCGCCCGTCTGAAATCCCAAACCGCCCACAAGACCAGTTTGACTACCCATGGAATAGACAAAGCAATGCTAAAGAAATAGAGGACCCTGCCCGTGAGCAGGGATGTAGCATTTTACACAAAGTAGTAAACTAAATGGCTTGTGAGCTTACAATTTAAAAACATAAAGATATAAGAGGGTCACGATGCATGTTTAATTACTAATTCCTAGAGGTGGAGAGCACTAGTATTTAGTATGCACATGTAGAGCACGTCCATTAGAACTGGGTTAGTTTTTTTGTTTTGTTTTTTTAATAATACCAGCATTTTACATTCGCCTGCACATAGTAAAATCCCCCTTAAATGAAATAACATACTGCCTACCTGTTTAGCACTTAAAAATATGAAGACTTTGCCTTTGAAGATATCTTTTCTTTTTGCATTATCCGAGAGGTCAACAGTATCAGATTTAATTGAAGGCTCGTCAATGGAGGGAATGAAGCTGTGTAAAGAAGAAAATGTTTTAGTGCCTGTGTTCACAATAATTAGGAAAGGCCCTTCTGCTAAACAACAAGTTGTTATGGAGAACAGACTTGCTTTTTTTTTTTTTGACAAAATAGACAATTTGGAATACTGATAGTGCTGAATTGAAGCTTCCTAACCAAATCTGCTATTATGCACACATCTTTTCTAGTTCTGCAAACATAACTCACTTTTTAATGTACATACCCATTTGTTGGACTAACACACTAGCCTATATTAATATTTTGAAACTAACAGAGCACACGAGAAAAATAATGATAACAGACAACAACTTGCCCTTTACATATTGTGCATTACAGAGAGAACCTAAATCATGTGCATTACAGTCTGATCCCATTCAAAAGGGAGGTTCCAGATCTGAAATGCCGGTCGGTTCCCTCTGCTTAAAAGATGCAGCAATCCCACACAATTGTTTCTTTCTGGTGGACATCGCCACTGTCAAGTGTGGCTAATGCTTCTTTAACCCCCTAAAGACACATGACATGTCTGACATGTCATGATTCCCTTTTATTCCAGAAGTTTGGTCCTTAAGGGGTTAAGTAAGGTGAGCAAGGGATCCAAATCTAGGAGTATCAATTTTCAAACCAAAACAGAGTTCTAGAGAATGTATTTATCAGCACACTATATTTAAAGGAACACTCAAAGAACCAGATGCTGACACTTTTCTCTCACAAATGTTAACTTTAAATTTGTAAGAGAACATGCCGCTATTGGAGGTAAAACTAGGGGCATTTCCTTTGTTTCTTTGAAAACTGAAGGTCTTTATGACCAACACTCTAAATGCTTCTCACAGAGAAGCATCTAATTTGCAGAGCGTGGTGATTGCTGCATGCAATAAGAGAAGCACTGGATTAAACAAAAGTCATATGGAAGATAAGTGGAGTGTTAGCTCCGGGGAGGACAACCCAGCGTTTGATTTAACTTGAGTTTTATAACAATTTCTTCTTTTAATTTATACAGAAGGAACACCTACCTCTTAACTGACCAACAAATTATCTAGCGTTAAAAATAAATATATTTACATTTAACATTATGTATTTTATGAGGAAAGGTATTTCACTTAAAACATCAAAGCTGGGGAGGGAACACACCGCCTATAAGGGATCACAAATGTCTAATCGCATAATAAAATCCAAGGCATAGTTATTTTCATTACCATAAAGAAATTAGCATTGTTATGGTGCAAAAGTTTTGCGAAATTCGGTTAGTTCATAACGAACCGATTCATATTTTCATTTTTGAATTGGTTATTGGATGATTAGATTTGTTTGACATTAAGACATTTTATGAGGACAAATACCCTAAACATTTTTATTTTTTTATTTTTTTTACACATGTCTAATTAAGTAACAGTATTTTTAATGGTAAAGAGTTACTCCAAGCACCATGGCTATTTCAGCTGCACATAAAGCATTTACCCCTTTACCCCTAAAGGAGGTGTAATGCCCCCTCTGGTAACATCAATAGCTAGCCCGGAGGAAGAGATCCAGGATGGCTATTGCCAATTCTGTGCATATTTCTTTGCACAAAGTTACCATCATTGGCCGAGAGTGACTAGCCAGCGAGATCAGCATCTCGCTTAGGCAGAAGTTGGACACGTCATCGGCCTCAGAGGACCCTTGTAGCTTCGTGGGGAGACAGGTAAGAGGGTAAAATGGTTTGCTCAAGTCTTGGCAAACAGGGTCAGAGTTCTCGTGACATCATAACTAATACAGCAGGCTGTAGTGGTGTGATGATTGCAGTAACACTTTAAGCCTACATCTTTGTTTGTAAACATTGTGATGGTGATCACCTAAAGAAAGCACCCCAGAACTACATTTACATTAAAGATGGGTTTGACATCCTTTAAGTAAGAGCATTCAGGGGACTGTAGCTAACTGAAAATGATACCAACTCAAATATTATCTTCACAGTGCCTCAGAGCCAGTCCTGATATTACCATTAAAGCTGAACAGTCATGTATAAGGACAGAATTAAGTATACATTTCCTCCTGGTAATTCTCGCAGTAAGAGGGCTGTAGTGATTTCTGCAGTTATGTGAAACTATTGAATAGAGTGAATGCCCTGCTCTTAAACTAATGCTAAAACATCATAATGTTTCTTGGAAAAACTCTGAAACACAGTTATCTCTAACCCATACAACTGACACTTATTTGGGTACAGTCAGTACACTATATCAAACAGTTCAAACACTGAACTTCAATATATCTATTTGCATTTAGTGTTTTTACTCTAGTAAGGTAAACCCAGTAGTACCTTGTAAATGCAGGTCGTGTTTGCTTCTGTCTAATGGATTTGATCAGCTGGTTGAAATACTCTGGAAGCACAATTGGTCGACAACAAATTAGGGCACATATTGTCTGAAAAAGAAAAAAAGTCAATAAAATTATATATGTAAACATGTTAAATATTTGAATAAAAGGCAAAACATTTAAATTCTACACTATGTCATTTCTCACCAGAGCAGTACAGACAAGAGTGTAAATTAATGTTTATTTAATACATTGCCAAATCAGCCATAAACTTAAATAAGAATAAATTCCTGGTAGCCCGATGGGAAAGCACGTATTCTACACTTCTGGCTGGTGCAGAACACTTTACCTGCTCTCTTGCAGTTCCTGCACTCAGTGAAGGAGTCAGAATGTAGCTGCTGGGATTCTCAGCCTGTGCAGACTGTATACTCCCCTACTGAACCACAAGAGATTACTTATTAACCCTGCTGGACAACCAGGAAAGATGGTCCAGAGTGGTCGGTCTATCAGTGATTTTTATAAAATGATCATATGTCCCTATTTTCCGTCGTTATCATATGATTTCCCGTGGTCTCCACCCCCTTGGTCTCAGCTTACTCCGTACTCTGTTCGGTTTTATCTACATTTTATAAATGTCTGAGTCTCTTGTCTTTCTTCCTAGTTTGTAACCTGTCTAACCATCATCTCCTCAATCAGAGAAGACCAGCTCCTTTCAGGATCAAACCATCACAGTTATACAAATTGTACTCAAGTGCAAGAATCAGTCCAGTGCTGTAAATAAACAAAAAACACAAATACGGTATTGCATCACTACTCTATTTTCAAATTTCTGCCTCATGCACATCAGTTACATTTATCGTGTAATTGCATTTTTTTTTTTTTAAACAACTGGGTATGAAACAATGCATATTGTCTCTGATGTATTATATGTCATACAGCATGTAACCTTTTTCAATGGTGTATTCTCACCCATAAACAATAATACACACACACACTCCCCCAAGCCCTTTTCTCCCGCATAACTTTAGCCAACCATTAACCTTCCAAAACCCATGTTACCTTTACCAGGTAGTACCTCCACAAACAACACCTTAAGATCCTGCTTGTTAAGTTTGTTTACCAGTTCCCTGATCTCATTCTTAACCTTTATCAAGCTCTGACTTTGTCCCTGTGTAAGAAATAGGGTGCCTTTAAAAAAAATATATATATTTTCTATTTTAATATATTGACATTGTGAAGGTCAATTATGTAATAAGCTATCTGGTTTCACAATGGAATTCCATTTACATATCAAAGTTGGTTGTCATCAAAGGGTACAAATGTGTGTACATCTTTACTATAAAGGTTTCAAGGGTCATGTTATCAGGAGATCAGAAGATCAGAGTAATTAACATCTAGGTGTAACCATGAAGTTTGTGTTTTCCCAAGCCATCCTGTACAATCTACCCAGAAACTAACCCTAACTGGTCACTTCTTACAGTATGTTACAGTATAGCTGGAGGGAAGAGATCAAAAGGGAAGGACTTGTGTAGAGACAGAACTCTCTGGAAAAAGGGGGCTGGATAAACCACTTTTTGGGAGGGAAAAGGGATTATGGGACTTGTAGTTAAAGGGACACCGTAGGCACTGTATCTGCTTTATCTCATTAAACTGGTTATAGTGTCTGGAGTCCTCTGGTACCATCATTTCTTTCAGCATTAAACAGTTTTTAAACTTAATGTTTTAATGCTAAACAAGATTCCCTGGCAATCCATCCCCTCTGTGCTGCTTTGGCTAATAAGGAAGTATTAGCCTGAGCAGCAATAGGCAGCTGTGATTGGCTGAGAGTGTCAGCTGACTGCTTTTAGCCTGTCAGAGTTCCAACTGACGTATGAATGGGTATGACAACAAGGAAGTGTGTAATCTCTGCCTTAGCTACACATACTGAAGGGGCCGGACTGTGGGTGGCCAGGGACTCTTATTTTGTGGCATACTGCACGAACATGGTGCAATACTGAATGAGGGACAGTGCCAGGGCACTCCAGGCACTATAACCAATTCAAAGAGATGAAATGCTTATAGTGACTACAGTGTCCCTTTAATGACTGCAAGAATCATTCTTTAAAAGGACAGCAGCCAAGGAGGTTGGGGTCTCTCTCTCGCTCTTTTTGGGGAGGAGCGCAGCAAGCAGAGGTGCCATGGTGAACTGAGAGAGACTGTCCCAGACTACCAAAGATGAAGGTGCAAGGGGAAGACCTTCATTTAAATGTTTAAGTATTGCCCTTTTCCAAGTATCTTTTGGTTTTGGACTGTATTGGTTATAATGTGTATATCCTTTTAAAATCTGCAACAGTATCCTAAATTTTATGGCAGGACAGGAGGCTTCATATTTGCTTTACCTTCTTTACTGAAACCTCCAGCCAAAAAGAAACAGTTAACAGAACTTTTCAAAACAACCAATCAGAACAAAGCAACAGTAGTATAACACCCCTAAGCAGGCTCTTCCACTTCCTCTTTCTTTGCTGCTGCCTCCAAGTGAGCACTCACCAACTCAGAGTTGTCTCTGCTCTTGGTTGTTGTTTTATCCTACATGCTGCTTGTTTATTTAAACAGTCTATTTAATCAGTCTATTTGTTAGGTTTGTTTAAGCAGCTTAATTGCTGGTTTTATCTAGGCAGTCTATTGCTGTGTTTATGTAGGCAGTCTATTGCTGTGTTTATGTAGGCAGTCTATTGCTGTGTTTATGTAGGCAGTCTATTGCTGTGTTTATGTAGGCAGTCTATTGCTGTGTTTATGTAGGCAGTCTATTGCTGTGTTTATGTAGGCAGTCTATTGCTGTGTTTATGTAGGCAGTCTATTGCTGTGTTTATGTAGGCAGTCTATTGCTGGGTTTAGCTAGGCAGTCTATTCTGTGTTATTTCCTATACCACTTCATGCTATGTAGCTGCTGTATCACTTGTTAACATCTGTTGCTGTATTAAAGGACCACTATAGTGTCAGGAAAACATACTTGTTTTCCTGGCACTATAGTGCCCTGAGGGTGCCCCCACCCTCAGGGACCCCCTCCCGCCCGGCTCTGGAAAGGGGAAAGGGGTTAAAACTTACCTTTTTCCAGCGCTGGGCGGGGAGCTCTCCTCCTCCGATCCTCCTTCTCTCCTCCTCCTGGGCTGAATGCGCACGCGCGGCAAGAGCTGCGCGCGCATTCAGCCGGTCACATAGGAAAGCATTCATAATGCTTTCCTATGGACGCTGGCGTGCTCTCACTGTGAAAAATCACAGTGAGAAGCACGCAAGCGCCTCTAGTGGCTGTCAATGAGACGGCCACTAGAGGAAATAGGGGAAGGCTTAACCCATTCATAAACATAGCAGTTTCTCTGAAACTGCTATGTTTATAAAAAAATGGGTTAACCCTAGAAGGACCTGGCACCCAGACCACTTCATTAAGCTGAAGTGGTCTGGGTGCCTAGAGTGGTCCTTTAAGGCTATTTATCTGACAGATTTTGTATACTGCTCATTGATTTATTGTTATTCTGGGTTACTTTATTCTGTTTTCTCACTCTGCTGTATGGGGAATGGGTGCCCATGCTATGATGCTTTGGCTCTGCCTGTAATCTGTTTCCCCTCCTGGGCTCTGTCGCCCATACCCTTCTCCCTTATTCCCCACCTGCTCCCCGTGGCCCCTGGCCGCTTGCTGAGCAGTTTTTTCTACCGTGGCAGTGCCGCATGATCACCACGCGGTAGGCCGCGCTCTGTTTTTGCAACCACGGCAGCCATTTTGTTGGAGCTGCGGCGGCCATTTTTCAGAGCCACATGGGCTCTGTGCGTTGCAAACAGCCAGGTCTCACCCAAGAACTGGCCTGCCAGGTCTCACCCAAGAACACCTCCACTCTCCCTATATCAGGGGAGATAGCCCAGTTTTTCAGCTATCCCTCTACTTACTGTGCCTGTCTCACATGCTGCATATGTAACAGATCCTGGATAGCAGGATCTGTCCCAGGCACGCTCACAACTGCAGCTTACTGTGTCTGATGCAATGTGACTAGGTTCTCTATCTTAGCAGTAGACTTGTCACACTTTTTTACTATTGCATGTGAATCTCAGATTTAAAGGGACATGTTACTGCTCAAATATAAATCTTTGTTTAACAAGACTATGCCACATGTGTTATATGCTAATCAAGTCTTTCTCTAAGTGTTACCGGGAAACTGACGGAGGCCAAGCACAGAGAGATGGATACAGGTTTCTTCAGGAAGGAAGAGATCTTTATTCGATTCACCGACCGGGACTCATGTCACCAAAAACAGCAAAGATCTGAGCACTGAATACATAGAGTACATTCCTTATATAGCACTGTAGCTCCTCCCATAAGTAGCTACGCACACACACATACCCTTAACCTAATCAATTATTTGAGTCTAAACTCATCCATCCGGTCTAACCACGTGGCTCATCTGAAACAAAGGAGAGGGACGCGTAATTCCAGTTCCTGCATTCCTGCACATGCTCAGTACAGTGATGACAGTATCTTAGCTACGTGTAACTAACTAACTGATACTACAAACACATGTACCTACATATGCCTTGTGGCAATCTTGGCCTGTTAAACTTTTATTTTACTGGAATTCCATCACATAAGGTTCAGTCTTTTTCTCATAAAAATTAAATGACCTGTTTTTCAGCACCTAGCATCCCTGCCTAGGATTTGCTGCCCTTCCTGCAAAGGACTTAAATTTTCCACTACACATACACTTCAAAAGTGTATCCTAATATAATACCTGAGTGGTCTGTGAGTCAGCTTCTCGCTTTATGGACCCTCCTACCCCTCAGGGGGGCTACTGGCCCCACATTCAGACCTGTTATTACTGGGGGAGGGGGGGTTGAAATCCCCCCCTTCGTATTTCGGGGGCTCTACCCGCTACTGGACCATAATAATGGACGTGTGACACCATTGTGGGCTGTGTGACCCCCTCCCTCTGGCAACATGGCTACCTATGAGTACCCTGCTGGCTCTACGGCGTCCTGTAAGATTAATGCTGAGGGTGACCCCCTCCTGCTTCCTATATTAATGCTCCGGCAATGTCCTGCTATTATCGAGGGGGTACCCCTCCTGCAGTCTGCACTGCTGGACCTGCAGCGTCCGGGTATTCCCATAAAAGAGGGTACCCCTCCCACTGATTGAGCTTCTGTTCTTACAGTGCCCTGCAATACGCAGATACTGAGGGTGACCCCCTCCTGTGGACTACTCTGCTGGACCTACAGGGTCCCGTTATAACCATAATGAGGGTGACCCCCCCCTCGCTGACTACACTGCTGGGTGTACAGACCTCTGATACCACACTGAGGGTGACCCCCTCTTACCTACAGCACTGCTGGATCTGCAATGCCCGGTTCTGGTTATATGAGGGTGACCCCCTCCTGCCGTCTACACTGCTGGACCGGCAATGTCTGGTTACTTTATTATATGGTTAACCACTTTGGCACTACTGTACCTACAGTGTCCGATTATGTTCAGACTGAGGGTGACCCCCTCCCCTGCTGGCCTATACTGCATGGTATGCTTGTGCTTGTTGGGTGACCCCCTCTTGCACGCTAGGTGACCCCCAGCTGGCCGCACCACTGTACCTACAGTGTCCGATAATGTTCAGACTGAGGGTGACCCCCTCCCCTGCTGGCCTATACTGCATGGTATGCTTGTGCTTGTTGGGTGACCCCCTCTTGCACGCTGTGTGACCCCCAGCTGGCCGCATCAGGTATCATTCCGACAGTGTTACCTCTATGGCAGTTGTGCAATCACGGCTGAAGGACAAATCTCCCGTACCCAGAAGGTCACTTGGCCTGTCCTCTTGCCGCCCCGCTGACCTCACTGCCAGAAACCATCGGTACCCTACGGGGACACTCCACCGGCCATCATAGATGCTACACCAAGCACCCCTGGTACTCGTTGGCTAACAGATGGATTCATCAAGAGGATCAGTCTTCATGACGGAGTCCGGAAAGGACACCGCAAACACCTGACACGGGGTTTGCACTCTATCTGGGACTAACCAGTGGATGTCGGTGACACGCGGACACAGATGTTTCCTCGGGACGAACGGCGGGTTACCGCTTGGAAAGTGGGGAAGACTAAATTAAAACGGCCCCTGTCCAAGCTGGACATCAAACTGATGGATTTAGCATCCAAGTGCTGGATCTGCTGTCCGGAGTTACCCTCGTGTACAAATTGAGCTGACACGTCTCTATTCATAGGGTTCCCCCTTAACTAGCCCCAGAGGTCTCTCGAACCGTGCCCGGACTCCAGATCAAGGTTGCGGAACCTTGGACCGTTCCATGAGCGATACGCATGACCAAAAGAGGCATCCATTCCGACTCATTCCGCAGTTGCCCTGCTGGGCAAAGGGTGTGGTGGAGTGGACTCCCGCCCCATCCCCACGCTACATGCTCCCAGTGCATGTCGTCTGTTGACACATTTTGAGACGGAGGGCACTCATCCCCTCTGAGAGCAGGCTCGGCGTTGACGATTGGTTCTCTCCCTCAAATGCACATTAGAGAAACCCGCATGGATTTTGCCATCAACATGGACATATTGAATCTGACTCACTCCAAGTCAACCCAGTTTCAGGTCTTTCATGGAATATTCGGTCCAGGCGGTGCTCCGCCTCCCGAGGACCAAGATGTCTGTCTTCAAGGAAAATGCCAGGTATATGCTTCGCAACCTGCGGGTTACACTTAAGGGCCCAACCCGGTTAATTGACCGGTGCCTATTCGCCATGGAAGCCATACCTCCAGGATCCGGTACTATCAGCCGCTCCAACATGGCGCTTTCTCGGGTCTTTGGCCTGGAATGTCCAAATCATGTGACCTTCGGATGAAGCTCATCTAAGACTTAATTGATGACTCCGGAGGAGGGACTCCTTTACGCCAACTGCATGGAACTACCTGCAGGTTTGTTCAACATTCACAGTATTGCTCGCTACCTTCTGGCATGGACTTCTCACCGGTTGCCCACTACGGACTGCAGTCGGATCTCACATAGGATCGCTATCTATAGCTTCTGGACAAGTATTCGTCATTTGTGACAGAATGTATGCGGGATGAGACACTCGTGTGGCGGACGGCTTCACCCGACCATGGAGAGACCCCAATGATTGGTTGCCTCACCCTCCAGGGTCTAGAGTACTGGCATGATTACATTCGGTGCGAACCGCCATATGGAGCGGTTCTCCAACTGGCTGCCGGACCCTCAGCGAGGCGAGGGACGAGTTTTCCAAGCTTGGTCTCCTTCGGGGCGTACGCATCCCGTTTACCTACAGGATACTTTGGGTTTTGCTTCAGACCGAATTCCTGGAAGTGTTGTTTCGCCTGGCCAAACCACTTCGGAGGAGTCCTGCGTGCTTTCCCCTTTTTGCTGGAGTTTGCCATGAGAAGGCAATCTACGACTCCCTGCCTCTTAATGTCCCACGTGGGATCCACAGGGGTAGCCTGCCACGACTTGTGTTTGGGTCCCAGTGGCGGTCCTTATCATGGCTGTCCCCATTGTCTGGCTGAGTTGCCCTCTCAGGGTAGGATCGTATGGGGCCATTCACGTCCTATGTCAGCTAGTGGACGACTCATGTGCGTTTTCTCAAGATTCTGGCATTGCTAAGGATCTCTTGGTCTGCAGTCTACCAAGAGGAGTATACCGTACGGGAGCCCTATCTCTAGCCAGTTATTTCCGCTTACGGTTTCCCCCCAGTACGTCTTGTATTTCATCGCGTTCTAACGTCATGGTATCGACGTGTCGTCTTCTTCCTTCTTGCCATTCAGTACATCGGCTTCTGCTCCACACATATTTCATTTTTATTCGTCCTCTGTGTCGTACCCCTATTCTCCGGATAGGCCATGGCTCTGTTGACAGATTGTACATGACCATGTAGATCCAGGATCTGGTTCTTTCGTCCGTCTACTCATGGACAGCTGTTTATTTCTGCGTACGGCCGTTTTGGACTGTTTCTGCATCTTCGCTCGCCCGTTGGATTTGGTGGATCCTCTCATTGACTGACCTTGAGTTCCTCTGGGACACTTTTGGTTCGGGGTGCTGTCACCTCAACAATTTTGGAAGCCGTTGGGTCCCTTCTGCATTTTCTCTACACCGCTGCTTGGTTTAGGGAATCAGTTTTTTCCATTCTCCTTTATTTCAGTCCTCTATCTCATATTGCTTCTGGTTCTACTATTTGGGCGTTAAAATTGCAAATATGAAGCCTCCTGTCCTGCCATAAAATTAGGGATTATTCTAGCCTCGGTGAGGGAATAATCTAAATTTTTTATTAAAGACAGGAGGCGAATATTTCCCCCCCTTTTTTTACGTTCCCTCCCTGGATCTGGGTTTTATTCTATTATAAATAATTGTGGATATTGTTATGTTTTGTGAATGCATGGTTTTACATAATAAAGGTTATTTCTAATATTCAGTGATGGTTGTCCGTGTGCGTTTTATTCATCATGTTTGTGTTGTAATTATGTTTTGTCAATGCCTTTTAGCTTAGGTACATACTAGGTCTTCATAAGATCTGTAGACTTTGTTTATTCATCAGGTATTATGATGTGAAGTGATATTGTATGGATATGACATCTTGCCTTGACAGTTTACTTTCACAATGTTTTCTGTTTTCTTGCAGTGTAATCTGTTTTCTCTCTGGGCTTGACGATTGTTTCTCTGGATGTGTCTGCTACAAGGTGGATTCGTTGGTTTCCTTGCTCTCCTGCTCGACCTCATCAAAGAAAGAGGAAGTGGAAGAGCCTGCTTAGGGGTTTTATACTACTGTTGCTTTGTTCTGATTGGTTGTTTTGAAAAGTTCTGTTAACTGTTTCTTTGCTGCTGGAGGTTTCAGTAAAGAAGGTAAAGCAAATATTCGCCTCCTGTCTTTAATAAAATTTAGATTATTCCCTCACCGAGGCTAGAATAATCCCTTATTGTCGATCTGCTGGAGTCGTCTACTTACTGATCTGCCCTTGTGGCCTCAAATATGTAGACAAGACCTATAGACCTTTTAAGCTCCTTATTCGTGAACATGTTAACTCTGTTAAAAGACACCTGGAGACTCTGATCTCTAGACATTTACTTCGGCACCATAACCACTCTTCTGAGGGTATTCGCTTTATGGGAATTGATTCTGTGCTCCAGCCTCCATGCAAAGGCAGCTGGGATAAAAAATTACACCAGAGGTAGGCTTTTTTGATATACAGCCTAAACACTCTATGGCCTAAATGAGGGCTTATCATTTGCTTCTTTCACATGATCAGTGCAATGTTACCATTGTGACTTAGATGTGGAATGAACGTGAGATTTTATAGTATTGTACCCTATTTCGTGCCCCTCTATATCTTTATATTTGCCACTCCCCTGTGTTTCACTTTTCTCCCATTCCATTGTGATATTGATCTAAGTGACCACAACTTAATGGGCTCGATTTTTATGGATAACAAACGCTGTTATATGCACAATCTCTGGAGAACATACCAACCACTGATAACAGACGGCCTGTATTGTGACCACTAGAGGCCGTCATTGTTATGAGTTGGCTTGTGGTGTATTGGGCTTGGTGGTCCCTGGGATTGCGGTCTGTGTTATGGTTGAGTCTGGTTATGTCCGGTTGGCCATCGGGGGCGATGCGATATGAGTGCCATTTTCCTTGTGTGTCTATCATTTTATTTATACATGTCACCTTGAATTCTGGACACCCTTTATCCCCTAGGCCCACCCACTCGTTAGTGTTATACCAGATGAGTAATGGATGTGCCCCCTGTAGATCCTGAAGTCAATGTCATGGTGGTGGAGCGCCTTCCTTGACTGGGGGACCCGCTCTCCCCCTTTTTGGATTAGGACTCAGATAGCCTGCCAGGGTGGGTAGGCCACACACTACTGTTGAGCCTAATGAGCTAGCCACCCCTGTAGGATGTTCCTCCCCCTCCAGTTAGAAGGTGGCTTGTTCCTGTGGGAGGAACAGTGAACTATCAGAGTTCATATGGAGGTGTGCCCAATTCATGAGGACTCCCCCCCCCGTGTTTGCAGATTGGCCATAGGAGGTGTTGTCCCCCAGGGTTTGATTGAGTGAAACACATGTGACTAATGAGATATATAGGAAGATGTAGACCTAGTAGCTTGGTCATTGTGCCCCTGATGATAGCGTGTGAATGAGTTCTTTTACAACTGATTTTTTGTTTCCACTTTGGTAGCACCATGTGCCCTTAGTTTTGTTTTGTGTTTTTTGGTAGTTTCAGGGATGGTTTGGTTCAGGTAGGCAATAGCTTTTCACCTTTTCTTTTGACCCTTTGTGTTGAGAAACTAAAAGAACAAAGGAGAGCGGTGTACCTCAAAGGGAACTAGAAAACCAAAAAGTATACTATGTACAGTATATAATAATGTTTCTAATGGGATGCCAGAAGTACCCTCACCAGACTAGGTAACATAGAAATCCAAAAAACAAATCAATTTTATTAATGAGAAAAAGACAATACTGTCCTTTAAAAAGTGCTCAAAGTGCTCAGAGTACAAATGTGCTAGAATTGCAAGTATATGTAAAGTGGACAGAATAAAGGATTATGAATTGGTATATTTAGCCCATAATTGATGCCAAATGAAAACTATCCACCATTACTTGCAGAGGGATAGTGTGTGTACAAGAGCATCTAAAGGCAGCTTACACTGCATACTGCATAATCCTATATCGGGTGTAGTGGTTGTGAGTGCTTAATAAAGCATACTATCCGAGTGTTATTCATTATGGCACCTGTCTCTATATCCCACATACAAAACCGTACACCAAAAAGAATCCCTAGTAAAGCGTAATAGCTTAAGTGAAAAGGTGCTTTAAAAAGCGTGGCCGAAGTGATTACTGCTGCATATCACTTTGCTGTCTAGACGGATAGCATAACCAAAACCCCTGACACGCGCGTTCGCCCAACCTGGCTCATCAGAAGGGAACCGGCCGGTACTGATCGGTAATTTTAAAAGGGGAAGGGGTGTTATCTGATTGGTTCCATGTGGAAACATCTCATTGGTCCTCAGGGACTCAAGGTATGATGTCATGTTACACCTCCTACCGGAAGTTGTGAAGTTTAACCCCTTCAGGAACGTCATGGGAGATTGTCTTTTTCCCAGAATTTTATTGTGTAAAATGTATTAATTACTGATGCAGTGCCTAATCCCAGGTGTATACTGTTGTATTGGGATTATATTTATGTTAGAACAAAAGGAGACAGGTGAGTCATAGTGAAGTATCTTTTAGAAGGAGTACTTATATATCTTGTCAGAATGTACAGAGTATAATATCATTGTTAAGATATACAGTTGCAAGAAAAAGTATGTGAACCCTTTGGAATGATATGGATTTCTGCACAAATTGGTCATAAAATGTGATTTGATCATCATCTAAGTCACAATAGACAATCACAGTCTGCTTAAACTAATAACACACAAAGAATGAAATGTTGCCATGTTTTTATTGAACACACCATGTAAACATTCACAGTGCAAGTGGAAAAAGTATGTGAACCCTTGGATTTAATAACTGGTTGAACCTCCTTTGGCAGCAATAACTTCAACCAAACGTTTCCTGTAGTTGCAGATCAGACGTGCACAACGGTCAAGAGTAATTCTTGACCATTCCTCTTTACAGAACTGTTTCAGTTCAGCAATATTCTTGGGATTTCTGGTGTGAATCGCTTTCTTGAGGTCATGCCACATCATCTCAATCGGGTTTTGGTCAGGACTCTGACTGGGCCACTTCAGAAGGCGTATTTTCTTCTGTTTAAGCCATTCTGTTGTTGATTTACTTCTGTGATTTAGGTCATTGTCCTGTTGCAACACCCATCTTCTGTTGAGCTTCAGCTAGTAGACAGATAGCCTTAAGTTCTCTTGCAAAATGTCTTGATAAACTTGGGAATTCATTTTTCCTTTGATGATAGCAATCCGTCCAGGCCCTGACGCAACAAA